GATCTCCCTGAAAGTTAAGGAAACGCAGTTATATGGGTGATAACTGATTCATTTTCTAAGCATATGCATTTTGTCCCATGTCAGAGGATTCCATCAGCACGGGGACTGGCCAAATTATTTCTACATCATGTCTATAGATTGCATGGTGCACCCCAACACATCATTTTGGACCGGGGGGGGGGTTGCAATTCACCTATACGTTCTGGCAAGATTTTCTGAACCTGCTTGGAACGGACCAGGGTTTAGCTCCTGTCACCACTCCCAAACAAATGGGAGGTATGAATGTACAAATTCAGTGTTGGAATATTAATTATCAACAAGATAATTGGATTGATCGGTTGCCTTTTGCAGAAATGGCATATAATAATGCAGTGCATATTATATGCCATGGGGTTCACTCCAGGGGTGGGTTCTACTTACCTTTACTACTGGTTCACAAAAGGGCCGCATGCACAGAAGCTTCCTAATGACATCGGGGTCGGTGGGCGGAGCCTCCCACCGGTTTTACTACCCGTTCTATAGAACCGGTGTGAACCGGGGGCAACCCACAACTGGTTCACCCCTTTTAGAGCAGCTACAGAACAAGAGTTTAACCCAATGCCTGAACTATCTTTCAACGACTCTCCAGTGGCCTCATTAAAGGAATGGGTCTCTCAACTGCGAAATACATGGCACATTGTGAGGAAATTCCTAGCGGATGCACGTTAAGTCTTACAAAAAACAAGCTGACAAGAAACAAACAGAATCCAAATTGTTTAACATCAGTGATTGAGTTTACCTCTCCACCTGCTATTTGCAGTCACTGCAACCATTGAAGAAATTAGGACCCAAGTTTGTGGGACCACATTATTAATACTGTAACAGTAAAGTTATATCTACCCAAATCCCTTTGGCAGGTCCACCCCAAATTCAATTGCAGTTTGTCAAAACCCGAAGTCACTCTCCCCCCAGACCTAAGCTTCCACCACCACCTGAACCATTAATGATAGAGGGGGAACAGCATTTTGAGGGATTTTAGATTCCCAGGTACATAGGAGGAACTTTCAATATTTAGTAGCTTGGAAGGAGTTTCAAAATGAATGGGTTGATCACCGCCATATTAAGACTCCTAAACTCTTAAGGCACTTTCATAATCAATATCCAAATAAACATAAATGATACTTTGTTGCTTTTACAGTGTTTTATAGTGTTGTTGATACTTTGTTGCTTCTCTCCCTGTTCATTTTGTTTTGTTCTGCAGGACTAACATCGCTGTTCAGGGGAGGCAGCATGTCAGGTCCACCATTGTGTCCTGCCATTCTGTTGGAGGGGGAGGGAGGAAAGCTCACTGGCATTTTTGCATGCTTTCATTTTTGCTGTAACTACTTGGGAATTAGGAAGGGAGATGTCTTCGGAGATGAAGCAGATTCCCTCCCAGCCAGTTCCAGCCTGGTTCAAAGGCCATCGTGCCCTGAGAGCAACCTGTTATCTGCCTAGCACCTCAGTGTTCCCAAAACACTGGGAATGGCATCACATTGGTTGCCTGTGGATTGCTCAGGTGGTTGGGTTGGGGAAAACAGAAGAATTGCTTTGGGCTTTGCATGGGACCTTCAGATTTTGCCTGACTTTCTCTCAGTAAAAGTTCTTTCGATTCAACTCAATGGAGTCAATAGTTTTGCTTTCCTGAGGGACCAGCTGGGGCTTCACTAAGCTTGCTGGCATCCTGCCATTAACAGAGGAAGGGTGGCAAAGCATTTTGGGAAAGTTGTGCAGGAGAATGTAAAGGGGGAGGAGGGTGGGCACTGACAAAGACCAGAGGTATTAAACTGGGTGGATCCAGCCGTCAAAGGACACTTAGCCTGGGAAAGAATGCAAAGCCATTTTAAGACATGCCTGACATCAAAGTGGTTCCCAAAACATTGCATCAGGATGCCATTGGACACTGATAATCTGGTTGCAGGGGCAGGCCCATAGAAGGGGAAAAACTTATAACTTTGTGCAGGAATACTCAGTTCTAGCCTTGCATTTACTGCAACCACTAATCTTTAGTAAAGATCCTTAGTAAAAGAGCCTATCACTTCAACCAAATGGAATTGAGGATCTTTCTTTCCTAAGGACCTACACTCTATCAAGCAATGTTGGTGGTGAACAATCTGGATGCAACTTTTGGACTCGGGGTCTTGCTTGAGGAGCAAGTGGCAGCTTTGGCCAGGAAGGCCATTGCAGAAATATATATTGTATGCCAATTGCACCTAATTCCTAGATTGGGAGGCTTTACTTATGGTCACTGACACCTTAGTTCAGTGGCCACCAACCGGTGGTCCGCGGACCACTGGTGGTCTGCGAGAAAATTTTGGTAGTCCACGGCGCACCAGGGTGGAGGAGCTGCTCCAAGATGAGCAATGGCCAGTCCTGTGACTAGAGCTTTGGAATATGGGACTGGCCAGGCAGCTCCTGGTGGGGCTGTAAATCTCCGCTGTAGAGGGAGGTTTGTGCAATTTGCAGCTTTGCAGCGCAGCCCTCGCCAGCTGGAATGAGGCAATGGTGCAAGGGGGGGTGGCGGTGCAGGCGGGCCGAAGCAACGGGGGGCGGCAACCCCGGGCTGTTTCTTCCCCCTGCTGTAGCTTTCTGTCGGTTAAACCACCAGTTGCTGTCCCTGCCCCTCGCCCTCCCTTCCCAGTCACTCCTCGCCTGGCAAGGGAAAGGGAGGGGAGATGGAGATTCACTCCATATTCCAGAGCGGGAGCAAAGCTTCATTTCTTGCTGGATCTCGCAGCCTTCTGGTCCTTGTTGGTGCTCCGCGCACCTCGGTCTCTCAGGGAGACGTTTGACTTCGTCTCAGCCCCAAGACACATGAGATGGCCCATGAGATGGGAGAGGGAAAGAGAATCAGAGAATCAGAGAGAGAATCAGAATGAGAGAGAGAGAATGAAAGAGAGAGAATGAGAGGGGGGAGGGGGAGAGAGAAAGAGACAGAATGAAAGAATGAGAGAGAGAGAGAGAGGGAAAGAGACAGAGAGAATGAGAGAATAAGAGAAAGAATGAGAATGGGAGAGAGGGGGACAGAGAAAGAGAGAGAATGAAAGAATGAGAGAGAGAGAGAAAGAGACAGAGAGAATGAGAGAATAAAAGAGAGAGAATGAGAAAGGGGGAGAGGGGGGGACAGAGAAAGAGAGAGAGAATGAGAGAGGGGGAGAGAAAGAGAATGAGAGAGAGAGAAAGAGAGGGGGAGAGAGAATGAGAGAGGGGCGGGGAGAGAAAAAGAGAGAAAGAGACAGAATGAAAGAAAGAGAGAATGAGAGAGAGAGAGAAATAAAGAGCCAGAGACAGAATCAGAGAATGAGAGAATCAGAATCAGAATGAGAGACACACACACACAGAGAATGAAAGAGAAGAGAGACAGAGTGAAAAAGAGAGAATGAGAAAGAGACAGAATGAGAGAATGAAAGAGAGAGAGAGAGAAAGAATGAGAATGAGACAGAGAAAGAAAGAGAAAGAGACAGAATGAAAGAATGAGAAAGAGAATCAACGAATGAGAGACAGAATGAAAGAGAGAGAAAAAGAAAGAGACAGAGTGGGAATCAGAGAGAGAATGAGTGGGAGTGAAAGAGGGGGAGAGAGAGAAAAGGAGAGGAGAGAGAGAGAAAGAAAGAAAGAGGAGGGAGAGTGCCTGAAGGACCCCATCCCGTCACTGGGAGTCCAGGCACTTCAGCAAGTGGCGCACTGGATTCGTATTAGTGGTCCGTGGGATTTAAAATTATGAACTTGGTGGTCCCTGAGGTCCAAAAGGTTGGGGACCTCTGCCTTAGTTCACCTCCCAATTAGACAATTACAATGTGCCTTTGAAGAATATTTGGTTCAGAGTATAGCAACATGTGCAATATTGGGAGCACTAAGGTCCTGTACACTCATATAAAATCATGGCTACATGAGCTGCACTGGGTATGTGTCAGTGCAATTCAAGGTTTGGTTGCCACCTTCAAGGTCCTACATGTTTGCGGGACGTTTCTCCCTAATGGTTGTGTTTTATAGTTGGATGATGTTTTTATTTTGAGCCCTGGTGGCGCACTGGTTAGAATGCAGTTTTATAAGCTGATTCTGTCGACTGGCAGCAGTTTGATTTTCACTGGCTCAAGGTTGACTCAGCCTTCCATCCTTCCAAGATCAGTAAAATGAGGACCTAGATTGTTGGGGACAATATGCTGATTCTGTAAACTATTTAGAGGGGCTGTAAAGCGCTGTGAAGCAGTATATGTCTAAGTGATATTGATATTGCTATTATTTTGCTGTCCAGAGTTTCACTGAATAGATGGGTAGTCAAATAAATCTGATAAAAATCTAAATGATGGAGTTCCATTCACAGAAACTGGAAACATTTAATTCCCCTCCTCACTTTTGTTTAATTAAATGAAGTTTCCAGATAAATGGTTGAAGGTCAGTAATTCATGACTAAGAATGGCTGTTCAAAGGGGCCAAACGGAGGGGGACAAAGAGGAGGAGGAAGAAGATGGAGATGGAGAAGCAGATATGAAGGGAAAGCAATGCATGTAATTATTCAATTATGTTTTTATCCTATTTTTTTCTGTTCTGAAACTCATGTCTAGACAGGGACAAAATTTAAATGTAGTGTGTTTCAACAGCTGACCCTGCCAAGGAGTGTTTCTTGTATTCTTGTAAATTGTCATATATTTTATACCTATTATTTTGTAAAGTATTCTTTTTTATTTTCCCAGGAAAAATAACAAGTTCTGGCTCATTTGCAGGTTGCAATAAGGATCAATTCTTTCTGATGTCACAAATGTTATTCTCTTGGAAGTTTTACTTGCAAAAGTGGGTAGGATTTGAACCATCTTCTCTGAGATCAAAGTCCAATACTATATACCATAGAACACAGAAGAGAATATCTCTTTCTTGGAATCTATGTCTACCCCAGCAGATGGACCTGCCTTACATCTGTAATGGTATTATGGAGTGATACAGCTATTTATCATTTATAACTAGGTGTTGCTTCCACTACTTACCTGAGACAGCTAACTGAGCAGTCAAGTAAGTCTTCTGAAATCCATAGATATCTTGCCTCTTCCTGCTCGACAATGTTGAGTAAACGCCGTCTAGAGCTTTCACACTGGGGAAAAATACAGTCATCATTTGGCTTCAGAATAGCCTGACTTTAGTCCATTAAGCAAATTTGTGCATGAAGCAGGTTTAGCACTTCATGCCCATAAACCTGTCTGATTTTGCCAATGCAAAATATAAATGCATATTTTATTCATAGCAGGTATTCTAACTATTTCACAAATATATTATAAATTTCACATCAACTTTTCAGAATATGGAATAATTTTTAACTGTGGACTGTAGAAGCAGGTATGAATCAATCTGTTGGTAGCTGTAGTCATAATAAGATTTGAATCCATGATGCCCTGCCTCACATTTTCTATCCTTGGTTGATATGTTCTCCATTATTTCTGCATCCTTTGGGTGCAAGTGAGTCTTTTCTTTTCTGCTTCTAACAATGCATAATATTACACTATATGAATATTGGATCATATTTTAAATATAGTATTAGAAGAGCAAAATTTTTTGTGGAGAAGCACAACTCTTGACTTCTGAGTGGCATGCTGAAGGCCGTGCTCCAAAACATAATATGTGATGCAGGGAAAAGGTTATTTTAATTTACTTTAATGGAAATAAAATAAATTAAAACAGTTTTTGCCTGTGGTACTTCTTGACAATAATTGTGGTACTTCTCGACAATAATTACCATAATTAGCATTTAGCAATAGCACTTAGACTTATATACTGCTTCACAGTGCTTTACAGCCCTCTCTAAATGGTTTACAGAATCAGCGTATTGCCCCCAACAATCTGGATCCTCATTTTACCCATGTCGAAAGGATGGAAGGCTGAGTCAACCTAGAGCCTGGTGAGATTTGAACTGCCAAATTGCAGTCAGCTGGCAGTCAGCAGAAGTAACCTGCAGTACTGCACTCTAACCACTGCGCCTCTGCAGCTCATAATTAAATGTTATTCTCTTTTTTGTATTTAATACTCTTTTCCCCACTATCATTTTTAAAACTGGCAACAATTTTCTGTGATTTCTGAAACTGAGTGAAGTGACTTCAGAAGTGGCTTGCAATGAAAGCCACCCTCCCCCATCTGTAAAATTGAAGCTGCATTTCTTTTTTTTAAGTGTTCTGCAATGAATATAAAAGATGTCATTCTGACATTTTGACCACCCCTCCCATTGCCAGCCGGAGTAATAAACTTTGGTGGATGTTCAAAAGAAGAAAGCTGGGGCCTTTATTTTCCATCTTGTTTGGGAGTGACTGTACTCAGAAGTTTCTGCTTGCAAAACAAGGGCTGAATTGGTCAAGAAAAGCACAGCAGACTGATCTGGATGAATGTGAAAATTAAATTATTATTTTTGTAATCACTCTTTTCAGAATTTTGTGATATTGTTTCAAAAAATATTAATTGCACTTTTACTAAACATTACATGTGGGAGAGGCTTCCTCTTGAAGTGAGCAGAGAAAACACTGAAGGTGACATGAGCAAAAAGATTGGCTTTTCCTAAATTAAACAGGCTCTGAAGTCCCCAGGGGTGGAAGAGATTCAAGCCACGGTCATTGAGTACTTACACTGCTTGGAAATATGGACAGGACATATCCAGTGGTAGCAATTCCAGCATGGTTCCATTGATACCTGGCAGCAAGATGTTGAGTCTTTCTAGCCATCCAGCCATGTCTTTCAAAGAAAGAGCTGACATTTGGGGAAAGTTGATCTCTGCTGACAGCATCAGCAGCTCATCCCTGATATTGATATTGCTTAGCAAATCACGATTCTAGAGGAAGAAGCAGGAAATAGCAGAAGCTGATGATATATTTGTTCAAGATAGGCAATATCTTTAGGGTGGGAAGAGAGAGATCAGTGAAGGATTTAATCCAGTTTCCCACTGTAAATTCGCACATTGTAAACTAATGAAAAATTTTGTGAGTTTTGAATATTTCAAAAGAATTATTAGCTAGAGAACAAATAGGTCTAAAAAGTAGGGGGAAACTGGCCAAAAGGAATTTGATACTGAAATACTGATACTGATACTGAAATTAACATAACTTTTCCCCAGCATACTTTTGATCCTTTTTAAGTTCCAAGAATTTAAGAACTTAAAAAGCTGTATTCCTGACCATTAGTGATAAAAGAATATTAGTGGGATGCTAGCTTGCTTAAAACATCAGGTTTATTCCTAAGAATGCTTTTGGCTTCCATGTAGGCTCTACAAAGCAAAACAGCAAAGGGCTGCAGACCAATACATGGTTAGAGACCATGCCCACCTCCCTCCACCCAAAGACTAAGGTAAGCTGGGTGGTAGAGGACATTCTTAGAGGGCTTGATGATGGTATGAGCAAGAGAGGGACAAATCAGGCAAGAAGGGGCTGCAATCAAAGCCCCATCTCTAAGCAAAATGAGAATCACAAGATGTCTTTGCTTCCGGACCAATGCCATGACTGGTGTCTTATTTTAACACAAACACACCAGGGGTGAAATTCAAAATTTTTCCCTACTAGTTCTGTGGGCATGGCTTGGTCGGGGTCATGTGAATGAGTGGGTGTGGCCAACTCGACATCAATCACTTTGAGGGGTGCCTCACCCGGCTCCTCCCCTCCCAGCCTCTCCTTGTCGCAAATGGCAGGAAAATGGGGAAGGGGATTTTCCTGCCTACCATCCTTCCCTCAGTCTGTGCTGAGCTTCAGGAATGGATGACAGGCAGGAAAATGGGGAAGGGGATTTCACAAAAAACAGCTCCATTCCGAGCCTTCAGCGTTGCAATCCTGCTCAAGCTTCAGAATGGAGCCTTTTTCATGAAAGGCAGGAAAACGGGGAGGGGGATTTTCCTGCCTGTCATCCATTCCTCAAGCTCAGCACAGACTGAGGGAAGAATAGTAGGCAGGAAAATTCCCCTCCCCATTTGCCCGTCGTTCACGAAAAAAGCTCCATTCTGAACCTTCAGCGTTGCAATTCTGGGATATGCTGAAGGCTCAGAATGCCATTGCTTCAGCGCAGAATGATTTTCGCCTGTCTCTTTCTGAGCACAGCGCTTCTGCCTGTTGGGCCACTTCCTGAAGCTGGCAGCTCCGCAGCCAGCCACTTTGCTTTTTCCCTCTTTTTCCTCATGGGAGGCTTGCGTGGTGGCACCAGCAGAAGGTGGAGGCAGAGGCGATCCCAATGCACCAGCTCCTTCATCCCACTGTCTCTTGGTTTGCCTGCAGCTGCACTGAACTAGCACCAGCAAGGGGCATTCTGGATTCCCTGCCTCCCCCATGCCAGTGCCGGTGCCAGTGCCGGTGCCTCCTGCGAGCCTCCCAAAAAGAGGGAAAAAGCAAAGCAACTGGCTGCAGAGCTGCCAGCTTCAGGAAGTGGCCCAACAAGCAGAAGCGCTGCGCCCAGAAAGAGAAGGGCAAAAGTGGTATTTGCGCTGCCCCAAGGAGCCAGCGGGCTGCAGAGGCAAAGGTGAGCTCTGGGGCAGCAGCGGTGCTCCGGGAGGGAGGGCAGATGTCCCAGGGCTGCACATGCGCACCGCATGTGCATTCCCGGGACATCCGCCTGCCCTTCCGGAGTACCGTCACCACCGCCCGACTCGGCTCCAGCACAGTGGCTACGTCTCCCCCAAGGGCTGGCCGCCCACTCGCTGGCTGGCCTGGCCCAGAAGTGGCGCATCTCCCATCACGGGCTGGATGTGAGACCTCAGAAGGCAAGTGGCCATGGGGGACCGGCGGGAAGGCTGCGTGGAAGGCAGGCAAGCATGGCAGGGCCGTGTGGAAGGGAGTAGGCTGCTAGCTCCCTTCCTGCGGCTGGGCAGCCCTGACGTGCTTGCTTGCCTGCCTTCCACACGGCCTTCCTGGCGGTCCCCATGGCCAGCTTGCGAAGGCAGGCAAGTGGGCGGGCAAGCCAGTGAGTGGGGGTGGGGCCAACCAGGGGTGGTTTTTACTGGTTTGGCGAACCATTTAAAATTGCCGCTACCAGTACGCGCAATCTGGTCCAATCCGGTTGAATTCCACCCCTGAAACACACCCCCTCTAGGCACACCTGTGTGTCTAGAACTTTTGCTGACCTTCATTACAAAGGAGTTGAACTCATCCAAATAAGTGCCAAGGAACTGGTCTGCATCTGCTTTTTTCCTGATAGTCTGGAAGATACGCTTCATGGCTGAAGTGCTGTAAACTGTATGGCTTTGAACGGACAGCTCAGCCAAGGCTCTTGCAGAGAACAAGTCCAAAGAATCTGACTATATTTAGAAAAGCAGAACAAGGTTAGTTGAAAGTGAGATAGTGCTCTGGATTGGAATCTTGTTAGCCTACAAGGTAGATAGACTAAGAAATCAATGACATATAGAACAGGACTACTTTAATTGTAAAGCTATAGTAACTGTATTTAGCACTCTGAATGTGCTTGCCTCCTCCTCCTCCTCCTCCTCCTCTTCTTTGTGTTGTCTAGGGAGAGGCTTCTCTGACATTTTTGTCCAACAGTTTCTTGGTCTGGGCTCAAGTCTGCTTTTTGACCACTGTCTTGATAGTGGCTCTTCCTGTCCTTCAGTGACTTTCCTGATGAACTTCCATCTAGGTCTAAGTATACAGGTGTGTCAAGATAAACTGAGATTGGCTAGGTGCTGCCATCTGTTGGATAAATACTAGTCAAGTCCACTTCACATAGGCTCACTCAAGGCCAGTGTTCTACTGAAGCACTTATTTAAGGTGATAATAAATTGGTAAACTTGAAAGTACCACAAGATTTTTCACTGCTCTTGCAGACACAGGTCATTAAGAATGGCATCTAGGCTAGTGAATAGGCTATGGAAGGAGATACAGAAATCTCCATCTCTTTCCTGCAGACTAGTATAAAATTTTCCAAGTTAAAACTTAGGGAAGAAGCTTATGTGGCTGTTTCACCTGTTTGACCTCATTGGCCCTAAACTGACAACCCAAAGATAAGGATTCCTTGCCTGTAATCCTTATCCTGTAAATCCTGTAAAACACATCAGCAGAATTGAGAGGGATGGTTGAATAACAGTAAGATGGGCAGCATATAAATTTAATAATAAAAAACAAATAAAAATCCCTCTTGATGTGTTTTTACTGACAAGGAACCAGGTTTAGACTCCCCCAACCACAAAAATCTCACCCCATGGAAGTTGCTTTTTAGTGCAGTGAAATCCAAGTATGAGCCATAAATGGTGAAGGGTCCAAAAAATCTTGCCAGCCACTGTCTGTCTGTGGAGATCCCCTGTGCACAAGCAGAGTCTATAGCAAAGAGAAAGCAGTCAGGAATCCAGATGCTTGCAGAAACAATTACTTATCATACCAGGTTATCACTAACATCCAACTTGCCATACTGTGTTGGATTTCAGCTTCCACACGTCAGCCAGCAAAGCATATTGAAAGTTGAAGTGCAAAATATTTGTTATCCAAGAATAAATCCTAACGGTAGGAATGCTACAGCTAGGACACGAGCTTCTCAAAGTGCTTAAGGGCAGAGCCTGCGGGTTAGTGGATTGGAACACAGCTTCTGCAAAACCCTCCAGAAGGAATCTGCCTGCCTGGCATTAACCTATACCAAGGATGGGTAACCTGTGTTAGATCAATTTTGGTACCTTCCAGCTGAGTCAACTCTCAGTATTCTGCTGCCAGCAAGGCCATTTCTGAGAATTGAAACTTACCAAAGATCTTTTTGTTGCTACTAAACTAGAAGTCCCAGTACTCTTCCCTAACCATTGAGTAAGATAGAATGACTGCTCACAGTTCTGGTCAAGCAACCAGATTTACGCCCTCAAAACATTTTTATTCCAGCAGGCTGGACTGGCTTGACTCTCCCTTTTAATTTGCTTTTAAGTTTTATACAAATTGGGTGTTTTTAAATTCGTTTTTTGGGCCAAAATTATTTAACGTACTTTTAATTGGTTTTTAACTTTTTTATGGTTTATTTTTATCTTGTGGCTGTTCACTGCCCTGAGTCCTTCGGGAGTACGGTAGTATATAAATTGAATAAAATAAAATAAAATAAAATAAAATAAAATAATAAAATAAAATAAAATAAAATAAAATAAAATAAAATAAAATAAAATAAAATAACATCATGTGACATATCATAACTTTTTCCCCTTCATAAAACTAGGGGTAGGTGTGGCCAGCACATGATGCATCCAGCCCATGGGCCACGAGTTTGACACCCCTGGTTTACTGGGTCAATTTGCTCTTATGATCAACTTTAATGCAGTTATTTGTATGCCATGAATATTCATTATCAGAGTGTACTCTAATGAGTTAGGGAGAGAGAGAGAAAAAAATGGAAAGTAATGTACTTGAAATGGTGACAGTGATATCCATTTGATTCAATTCTGGAGTTAGTTGTAGGCCTTCTGTAAATATTCTAGAAAAAATTTGTCTATTAGGGAACTTTGTGCATCTCCAGTTTTACAATAATTGTTCTGTCCTCACTACACGTTAGTCTGTGTGCAGCTCAACATGCAGTTAAACCCACCTATCCTCCAATAAAACAGACCATGTGCATAGATCTGAATGTTTTACTGAAAGAACAGGATATGATGAAACTGGGGAAAATAGAACCAAATACAAGACAGACAGTATTGAACTACTGCTGAACATAACAATTAATAAATACAAGCAATTTAAATCTCATCAGTGATGCTCTGTGTGTGGGATGTGGGTTTGTCCTTGGATGACCATGTGCCACGGATTCTTTTTTTTTTTATTCTACCTTCTCCAAATGCTAAAGGAAATGGGGTCTGGCTTCCCAGCATGTACTTGTTTTGAGAGTGCGGGCTGATGGGTAGAAAAAAAGATAGGCTAAGGCAATAATAACAAAATCTTGCAATGGCTAAGAGTAGGAAATTTGAAGAAAGAGATAGAGGGGCTAATTCTAGCTGCACAAGACAAATGCAAAAAAAGTCAGAATTGAGAAGACAGCTATAGATAGCAAGTGAACCTCTGCAAAGAAGCTGAAAAAAACAGTGGATCACCTGGTTAGCTGTTACAAGAAGATCGTACAAACTGACTACAAACAATGGCATGACAAATTAGCAACAATTGTGCATTGGAAGATCTGCAAAAAAAACCATTTGCCTGCAAGCAAGAACTAATGGGACCATAAAATAGAGAAGGTAATAGAAAATTAAGAAGCTAAAGTATTCTGATTGTTGATAAGATAAGTCTGGAAAGTGGATGAGCCAGTACTTGGAGATAGCAGAATAGAAGAGAAAGAACTTGGACTCCTTCCCAAGATGGCTGCTGCTAATGGTAAAAGGCTTTTTCCTCTCTGTCGCTTTTGCTGCCAAAGCTGATTCTCTGGCAGTGCTGCTCCCTGGATTTGAATGGGAATACTCAGGAATGACCCAAGACAACTTTTGGACATGGTCCATTTGGGAAGGGGACTCTTGAAGATTTCAGTTCCCTATGGAAGCAGTCCGAAAGTCACTGGGCAAATCTATCTTCCTGTCAGTAGTTTCATTTTCTTAAGCATACATAGGTTTTTACTTTTTACTTTTTGAATTTGTTTTACTGTTTTTTGCTCTTAGAAGTTGACCAACAGTTGAATGCTGATTTGTTTCAACCCCTTACTGGACTCTGTTTTTGCTTTTTCTTTCCCTTTATGCTGTTCTGAATAACTTTATGGGGATTCTCCCCATAAAGAAGCACAATAGGTTTCTGGATGGTGAAGTGCTGTCATCTGGTTTACATTAATATTGGACTCTCACAGCAGGATTTTATACTTTTTGAATTTGCAAAATATTCAGAATTTATCTCTTTTGAAATTTTCTTTTAACCTTGGATTTAAATATCCAGAAATTATCTTTTGGTTTTTTTTTTCTGCTTTGTTCCCTGATCAAGTTACACAGAGTAACGAAGTATCAGATTACAGCAAGCAAGGATGGCTGAAACGTAAGAAAAGACTGTTGGATAGTAATATGCAGCTCTTAGCTGAAAGTTTTTTCAAAAAGTTTCATGAGATGATAATGGCCGTGGAAAACATGCAGAGGCATGTAGTTTTAAACAAAGATTCAGAAAAGGACTCTGAACTGAAAGTTCCAGACCAAAGAAACAGGCCCACAGCCGGAGAACTAATTGAATTGACCCTTGAACTCTTTGAAGTTCAGGCCTGCATAGCCTTACAATATTAAGAATCTGACTGAATGGGGATGTGACAAATTCTTTTTTTCTATGAAGAGTGAACCTATGGAGAACATATTTATTACACTTAACTAGAAGCAACTTCTATTTGGACTTTGTAGAGAAGATAGACCCACTCTGGGGACAGAATCTATTATATTTAATTAGACAATTGATAAAAGATGGCATTAAGAAACAAATGTGGATATTTGAAACAGGATGAATTACTTTTAATGTTTGGAATGTTTTGGGATAGATAAAACACTATGGCAAACTTCCTACGAATGAATTACTATGACAGTTTGTTAACAGAGAGTTCTGAAACCTTAACCTTGTCTTTTTTATTCTTCTTTTTCTTCCTTTTAACTATTTTGTCATTAATATAGTATATAGAAGACAGGTCAATAATTTGCAAATAAATTTACTATTTTAAAAATTGGGGGGGGCTATTTCACAAGAGGTGGGAACCAATATTGTAGTAATGTATTAATCAGTATTAAATTGGGATAAAATGTGTATATGTGTTGCTTTTTTTCTTTTCTTTTAGATGCACTTTTTAATGTCCTGATTGTTTTATGTTTTCTTTTTATTTATTTGCCTTTTTTTTTGGAGTTTTGTATTTTAACTTACTTTTGAATAAAATAAAAAATAGAATGAAGAAAAAAGAAAAAGAACTGGAGAAGGTAACAGACAAAAACCTGCAAATAGAAATAAAACAACTGCGGCAAAAGAAAGCAAAGGTAGTACCAATAATAATAGATGCCTTAGTGCAATCGCCAAAAAACTGGAGCACCACTTGAATACTGTTGGCATTGACAGATTCATCATCACTCAACTGCAAAATGTGGCTTTACTCAGAACAGCTTCCATCCTGCAATGATACTTCTAACACCAGCAAACATCCACATCTGCCTATCCCAGGCCCTTGGGAAGGACTTGATAGGCAGATAAAAATGCCAAATCGAGTTTGAACATTCGGCTGTCTGTGCAATGAATCATAATATAAAATAATAAAAAAAATTAATAATTAAAATTTAAAAATTATTAGGATGTTGATTCTTAACCTAATAACCAAGTGGATATTTACATGATATAAAACTTATCTCGGCCAGTCCACCCAACTGCACTGGAAACAAGCCAACACCAGAACGGAATAAAGCAGTTGCAGTCCTTTAATTAGGTTCAGCACAGCAAACACAGGCAGGAGAAAGGCACAAGCCGGAAACAAGGTTTAAAGTTAGCGCTACACGCAATCGCAGTGTAGCGCCTTTTATATACACAGCAATAAATCAAGTGGCAATTAAACAGTTAACATCACCCCTCCTTCCCCTAGCTGGCCTGAAGGAGGAGCACAATAAATCAATTAACAATCAAACAGTCAACATCATCCCTCCTTCCTCAAGCTGGCCTGTAGGAGGAGCACGCCTCTGTTACAGCACAAGGCAGCGTCATCTGCAAACACCATGCCCCCCCCATCTCCGATGAAAGAGTTTGCTTCGTTTTGTGTGCGGGTGGTAAAGACTTCTCAAACAGCTGATGACACGCCCCCGGAGAGTCCAACAGCTTGCCCCCTCCTCGTCGTCCTCCCTAGTGATGGCGAGACCCAACCGAGGCTCGACAACTTATTTATCCTTGGGCAAGGTTTTATTTATTTATAAAATTTCTATGTCGCCCATCACTGCTACAAATTTTACTGTTTGCTTCTTTGTTTATGGCTGCCCATCCCAAATTCATTACTCTGGAGAACTAGAATGTAAAAAAAAAAGCATTAAAAACAGAAAAAGAACAAAACAAATTAACCAAATTTGACTGCACTGAATTTGCAAAAAAAAAAAAAAAAAAAAAAGACACTGCATGAATGACAATACAAATAGGCACCATTACTGGTTCTGCAGGTGTTCAATATGTCTATTTTCCTTAATCTCATTTGAAGCCCTGATAAATCTATTTTATTTATTTATTTATTTATTTATTTATTTATTTATTTATTTATTAAATTTTTATACCGCCCCCTCTCCTGAAGGTCTATTGATGAGCAAATTACTTACATAGCTTTGAAAGAGCCACAAGGGACAGTTTTGGGGATCATTGCAAGGATGGTGGTATTCATACTGGGCAGCCACAGAGTCAGCTTACTCTGGAACCAATCTTTGTACTGGGAGACAGAGGCGCTGAGGAGCAAATCTTGCATCTTGTAGAAAAAGGCTTCAAGCATCAAAAACCTCACATCGGTGTTTTCCAGGAACATCACTCCCTTCTGACAAGTAGAAACATAACCAGACAATTCACATTAACCAAGATTTCCCCCCAAAAAAACAGGGGAAGGAGAGCACTGTGGCCATAGTCTTGATTTCTTTGACTCCCTCCCCCAACAATTCAATCCAAAACGGTAGAGAAATACAGACCATGCAACGAAAATAAAATAAATGCAGTTTTGGGAAGAACCCAATGGCCATTTTGCTTTTTCTTGCTAAGCAAGGGTTCTGGGCACTTGGCTGTACTCTTGTGGTCCAAATCTCCCCATTTGGGGTGAGGTTGCTAAAAAAGCAAGGCCCAGCTGAGTTCATTGCTTCAAAAATCCTATTAGACTTTGGGGGCTGTTTTTGATCCTATGCATTGGACCAAGACAATTCTTGAATATATTCCATTAATTATAATAAGACAGAAGGGATTCCAGATGCTTCATTAGTGTCCCTAAATCTTTTTGAGCCCTAACTGTACTTGGAATTAATCTTCCATGGATTATCTCACCTGCAAATGGGTGAAACTGAAGCAAGTAGCAGACCAATCAAAGCCAAAAGGGAGTGAAGCCTTCTATTCACTCTCTTTCTGAATCCTCCTTTTTTGTACTGTATCTTGTTATTTTCTCTCTCTTCCAACATCCTCTCTTCTCTCTTATATTTGCAACAGGTTGTTGGGGATGGGGTATATTAATTCTTCTGCATCTGGATTGATCCCTTGCAAATGATTTATGAAATAAGACTGCTCTGGCCTGAGGTTTAAGTTGCTTGATCCAGGAACTAAAAAGGTTGCTTAGATGGTTGCATAGGGGAATTGTTGCAAAGCAAACTAACAATGATGTCAAGGGACCTAAAGGCTGCAGGCAAAATGGTTTGATGAAAAATCTTATAAAAGACAACCTACCTGTGATGCAATGAGGACAAACTCTGACACAAAAGCAATGGTCTCTTCCAGAGACCTGTTCTCTAAAGGCATCAGAAGTGCACGGACCATAACAGGATTATCCAGGATGTTAGAGCCAAAAAAGACGTGAGCAAGTTGGATGGAGGTGAGATTATCCTTGATCTCCAACTGTAAATATACGAAAAAGACGTTGGTAAACCAATATAGTTTTTTTGTGTGGAAATTTCTCTTATTACTATACTAATGGTGCCTTCATTTTTGTTGAATGTGATGTTGTGTCTTACACCTTTCTGAAGATTATGTTGTGCACATGTACCCAATTTGCATTTAAAGATAAATCTTAGATTTAAAAAAAGTCCCTTCATCATGGCTCAGGAAAAAGACACTGAAAAACTCACTTCTGGAGCTAAAATTACCTTTCTAAACAGAGTTTCAATCTATTAATTTCTTTTTAAAGAAACATTAGCTCATTCTGTGGTTAGACAGAACATTCTAACAGAAAGAACATTTTAACATTTCTCAAGCTTGATTAAATATGTGTCCTGAGATGTGACCAGTGGACTTGCATAGAGATAGTTTGCCATCTGCTGCATCAAATTCGTCTTCTTAATCTAGTGAAAAAGAAGCTTCAAGACCTTGGAGTAACTATTGGGTTTTTTTCACTTTCCCTAAAATGAGACTTGAATATCTCTTAGTTTGGGTGGGCTAAAGGCAACCAAGATGTGTTCCAGCCTTTCTTTCTTTGGTTGTGACTTTTGAGAGCACCAAACAAGCATTAAAGTTCCTTTTTTGCTTCACCAAAGTGAGCTAAGTGTTGAAGTCCACAAGTCTTAAAAGTGGCCAAGATTGGAGACCCCTGCTCTGGATCAATGTGGCTAGGGAATTCTGGGAGTTGAAGTCCACACATCTTAGAGTTGCCAAGATTGAGAAACTCTGCTGTAGACATTCCGGAGTCCTAGAACTTGATCTGTTCTGTCCTACCCTAACTGTAGAGAAGCTAAGCCTAGAGAAAGACATCTCAGGCCATTGTTATAGAACTTATGGTGATCTGAAAGATTAAAGCTTCTTGCAGGTTATACTTCTTTTTTCCAGTTCAAAGCAGTGGTGAAATCTAAAATTTGTTACTACCGGTTCTGTGGGCGTGGCTTGACACTGAAGGCTTTTTTGCCTTCTAAGTTGTTTGCGCTCACACTGCAAGTGCACCAGGCAAATTGCCAGTGCTTGCAAATTCCTCTTTTTTGCAATTCCTTCCTTTCCAATGACTGTCAATAGGAACATGAATTATCTTATTAATTATCTAAGCACCAGGATGAGCATTCCAAAGGGAGTGGGGGTGGGGAAAAGGGGCAATAAGATTTGCCCTTTTGCCTGGTATCTTTGTGAGTCAGATTCTGGAGACTCTACTTATTGTTTGACCTCACCCAGCTGTTGAGGGAGTGAATCCTTCTGGCGCTGTAAGGATGTTCAGGGACAATTTTTGTAATAGACTTTCTTCAAAGTTTTTACTATTCCTTGGTGTACTTGTTCTTTGATATCTAAGAATAAAAGTGAAAGGAAGCTTCTCAAATGTTACTATCATTATTATTCCTTGGTGTACTTGTTCTTTGATATCTATCAGAATCAACTTAGGGCTAAGGAGAAACTTCCTGACAGAACAATTAATCAGTGGAACGACACAACAAAGTTGTGGATGCTACCAACACTGGAGGTTTTAAAGAAGAGATTGACAACTGTTTGTTTGAAATGGTATAGGGTTTTGGACTAGATTGGACTAGAAGATCTCAAGATCCCTTCCAACTCTATTATTCTGTTACCCTACATTAAGGATCAGTGTGCAAATGAGCAGCAAAACATGGTTAGAAGCACATAACAAAAAAAGTATGTGAGGTGGTAGAATGAAGGCTGGGCAAGGGTACTATACAATCCAGCTATAGTACCGCACTGAAGCTGGCCAGCAGTTTGATCAAATCTTCATAAGGAGCTTGTTTGACAAAGGGCCCAAGGTGGTCTTGCAGCCAGGACTCTGTACTCTTGGTATGAGAAGAACATGCAGATCCTGTCATGTCAAAGGACAGAAAAATACATTCTAAGTAGATATCCACCTGGAACATCAATTTTAAGGTTGGTTCTCTATTAGGAGGAACAATAATCAATCTTGATGTTAGATTGGCGCAGGGAAGAGAATACGCGAGCAGCGAGTGGTCCGTTCAGCACTTTATCAAGATGGAAACAGAACAGCCGGCTGTGCTGCCGGGCTCGCCTTATAAAGGGAGTCGGCAGGCAAACCGGCCAATGACAGATCTTCAAATCTCCCACCGGTGGACTAGCCAATCCGGCGGGGATGCCCATATAAGGACATAACACTTGACATTCTTGATATCATGTGCAAACAAAACGTGGTGGGGTTTTTTGTTTTCTATAAAAAAATAAAGTTTCCATCAAGCTGAAGCAACTCTTCATGGACATATCCAAGCAGTTTTCTTGGCAATGCTTCTTACAGGAGTAATGGGAGATTGCATAAGGAGCATTGGTGCCTGCTTGCATAAATGGAATGAGCATAGGCCCTGCTGATTGGTTGGCTCTATCTCATATCTCTTCCTTGTAATTTTCAGACCTGCAAAATCCATGTGATGGTTATTACCTGTGATCTTGTGCTGGGTATCGAGGAAAGCAAATAAAGTATCGTAGATGCCTTTCCGATTGGCCAGTGGTATAAAAGGATAAACCTGGTTGACACAGGATACCCTGGATAACAGCAACAAGAAACATGGTGTCACAAATATCCACTTGATACTGAGGATGGTTTGCAGTAGCTCAAGAAATGTAACATTTAAAATTGAGAAAGGAACAAGACAGGGATGTCCCTTATCTCCACTATTGTTTATTTTAACTTTGGAAGTATTGCTGAATAAAATACGGGACTCGGATAACATACAGGGCATTAAGATCAGGCAACATGATTATAGATTACGAGCATCTGCAGATGATTTGGTTGTAACTTTAACCCAACCAGTAAATTCAGTTACAGGTTTGATGGAGATAATTAGACAATATGGTCAAGTGTCAGGGTTTAAAATAAATATAGGGAAAACAAAGATGATAGCTAAGAATATGAATACAAAACAAAAAGAAGAAATGGAAAGAGTAACAGGATGCGAGATAGTGAAAAAGGTTAAGTACTTAGGAATTTTTATTACAACGTCAAATGGGAAATTATACAAGTATAATTATGAATTGTTATGGCATAAAATACAGTCAGAGATGGATAAATGGAAAAAACTACAATTGTCTTTGTTGGGAAGAATAGCAATAGTTAAAATGAATGTTCTGCCCAAGTTTCTATTTCTCTTTCAAATGATACCAATACTTAAAAAGGATGCAAATTTGGAGGAATGGCAGAGAGGCATTAATAACTTTGTTTGGGTAGGGAAAAGACCAAGAGTTAAATTAAAAATAATGCAGGATACACGTGAAAGAGGAGGTTTGAAATTGCCCAATCTAAAATTGTACTATGAGGCAGCTGTTTTGTCAGCAATTAGTGACTGAATTAATTTAACAGATGAAAGAATACTGAATATTGAAGGGTAGGATTTGCTATATGGTTGGCATGCCTACTTAGTTTATGAGAAGAAGGTGGATAGGACTTTTAAAAGTCACATATTAAGGAATGTTCTCTTGCGTGTTTGGAAAAAACACCAATATAAATTGAATGGCAAGATACCCACGTGGGTAGTACCCAGACATGTGATAGAAAATATAAGTATAGAACAAAGACAGTAATTATGTAAGTACATATGTATATGTATATGTAATGTATATGTATATGTAATTACATATAAAGAACTTCTGATTACAGAAAGGAATGTACTACACAGTTAAAGCTTCTGAATGTATTAAGAGAGGAAAGGGCAATTCAAACCTGGTTTCAGTATGTACAACTGCAGAATAGATGGAAAAAAGATCAGAAAATTGGTATTACACAAAGTGAAGAAAATTTGATAAAGCAAATTAGGGACCAGAGTAAAATGCTCATAAAAAGGTTGTATAATATATTGATAGAAATAGACTCTGAGACAGAGTTAGTTAAAGATTGTATGATAAAATGAGCACAAAATTTTGAGGAACCAATAATGATGGAAAGGATCTGGGTAAGAAATGTAAGATTTACACAAGCTCAAAATTTGAGAGAAATTTTTTATAAAATGTTTTATAGATGGCATTTGGATCCTAAAAAGTTAGCTTGTATGTACCCAAACCTACAACCCAAATGTTGGAGATGTGATTGTGTTGATGCTACCTATTTTCATGTTTGGTGGACTTGTAAAAAAGTTAAAGCATTTTGGATAAAAATATGGTGGATTATTCAAAATATTTTTTAAAAAAGGATAAAGTTTACTCCACAGTTGTTTTTGTTAGGTATAATTACAGATTGTACGTTATAGAGACTAATTTGATTTTGAACTTAATAACTGCAGCAAGACTCTTGGTGGCGCAGTACTGGAAGAAGGAAGACTTACCTACTATTCAAGAATGGACATTAAAAGTAGTAAATTTAGCTGAAATGGTGAAAATTTCAGCATATCAGCATTTCAGACCATTCAAATGAGAAATACATGTTAGAATGGAGAAGATGGATTGATTATATTCAAGGCAAATATCGGACTAAAAATTTTCAAATAGCTTATGAATGAGCCAAGAGATTTTATAAAGTACTTAAATTTAGTTTAGTAAAAGGGGAGTTAAAAGTTCAAGAGGGGGATAGGAGGTTATAGATAATTAGCTTATGTTAGCTAATGATTGTTAAATGTTATACCCTGTATTTTGCTCTGGGAAGTGGTGGGGGGGAGGGAGGGGAAGGGGAGGGTTGGAAGGCGAGGAGGGAGGGGGAAGGGGGAAGGGGAAATGTCTGTAAAACTTTTAAAACTTTTCAATTAAAAAAAAAAAGAAATGTAACATGGAGGCTTAAAAAAACGAAAGAACTATGATAGCAGTCTATGGCTAGGTATAAGACATAATGACAAGTGATACAAATTATATAACAACTAGCGCAAAACCTCAAATTACTGGAAATTGCTGGCCCATTTCCTTTAAGCTAGAGAAACTCCCTGGGGGGCTTGGCCAATTGTTCTATCTCAGTACTTTGATACAGATACTTTGATGGTGTGGTCCTTAACTTTTCTGATCCCCCCCTCCAAATATCCCCTAAGTGGACATCACCTTCTTTTGCCTTTTGCGTTATACTCACACAGCTCTGAAGCTGTCACAACTTGAAACATAAGACAAGATCCTTTGAGATTCCTTTTCACTGATGCTTGGCAAAAGGAGCCCCAGTCTTGTTGACAGCAAATGAGTCCAATTTTCTGGAGCAAATGTTGAGAATGTACCCTCAGCCCCCTGAAGAAACTGCAAAAGCATTTGTTTTTGTATGCCTTCATCTTTCAGGGATGTTATTCCAAGCTGTGTGTTTAAAAAGAGAAAATAGAACCACCATTTAGCTATTGGGATTTGTTTAAAACTTGGTGTAAATAACTGATTGCTGATCAAATTCTGCTTCTCTTCCTCAGTTCAGGCACTTGGATAGCTGAAATAATTCTAAGAGCTTAAGGAAGAACTAAGAACAGCAGGAAGTTGGTTTGGCTGGGAAAAAGAAGATTGAGTATGTAAGAAAAAAGAAGTGTGAGTATGTAAATAGATATATAGACACACACATGCACACAGATAGGCTTTGGTTTATGACCACTCATTCATTGACCATTTCAAAGTTACAACAGCACAGAATGAAGGGACTTATAACTGGTCTTTGAAGTTCTGGCTATTGCAGTACCTCTGGGTGATTGTAATTATGACACTGCAGCATCCCACGGTCACTTGATGACAATTTCTCATGTTCCCTGCCAGCTTCCTGCTCCCATTTTTTTACCACTCATTCTGCATAGCCCTTGCTTGTGGTACCCCTTATCCCCTGTAGTACCCATAACCAGCGACCTGCTTGTCTGGGACTTCTACCTCTTCCTGCATAACGACCCACGTGCCAGGTAGTCATGCGATGTCATGCTTTATGATTACATTGCTTTGTGATGGAAATTCCCGTTCCAACTGCCATCATAACCTGAGGATTTACCTGCATTAATCAAATATCATACCTTCTGGGCCACAGTGTTGAATTGATCCAAATATTCATAATTTTCTGCTAACGGTTTGTTCTGCAATTTTGCAAGGATCTGGCACATGTGCTCTTTGTTGATGATGACTCCAGATTCCAGAGTGAATGATGCAAGTTGTGATGGAGACAAATATTCTAAAACAGCCATCTAAGAAGTGGAGGAAAAGGACCCAGAGCAAATGATCACAAACTTGAAAACTTCAGTACTTCTAGGAGGCACAAATGTTGCACCACTGCTTATCATCATGTAATTCTTCCTTATTTCAAGTTTTGATCTCTGTCTGGGTAAAGCTTTTTCCCATTGGTTTTGAGCAGCATGGAGATGATAATGAGGGGAAGAAGGAGAATTCCTAATAACTCAGCAGCCTGCAAGACTTACTTGGTCCTTCTTTTTTCTTTGCGTAGAATAAGTTTTGCAACAAGGATAGTTGTGATCATTTTAAATTATGTCTACTCACGCCATCAAAATACAGGTTCCAGCTCAGCAAGTCATGGTATTCAGCATTTCGGCTAAAGTTCCCAAGGTTGATTTGTAGCCAGTCCCGAAAGCTCTGGGTAGGGTGTCCACAGGCCAAGCCTTGAGAGACAAAGAAATCCAATTGTGCCCTGCTAAATTGTCTAAAAAGCCTGTTTCCAACAACGATAGCCTACCAGTTGTGCTGGGCTCAGGAGAAATCTCCTGCCATACACTTCCTTTGTCTCAGGGGACAGAATCAGGGTATAGTTGGAGGAGACAATAACAGGACTGACTTTCCCCAGACAGTCTTTAGTTTTGGATCAGCAGGAAGGTCTCTATAGCTGAATTCTTGTTCACGGCCCGGCAAGTTTTATGAACCCAGTCAGTGCAGCTTCTAAGCCATGGCTTCTAGTTTAATGAATTGCAACTCACTCGCTAAATTATAAGGAAGTAAATCATGAACTAGTTTACTGGGTGAATCTACCCAGCATTTTTTCTCACCACACCAAGCTTCCCATGTGAAAGAAAGGTGTCACCAACACATGTATTATTGGTTTTGGTATGGAAATTTGAAGCATTTTGAGCTCATAGCCTGTCCTACCATTCTGGAAATGTTTCAAGGAGCAACCCATTTCAAATTTAAAACAACTGTTCTGAATTTGCAATCATTAGCATGTGCCTAGTTATTATCCTATTTTTCCTATGGAGCCCAAGGTGACATACATAACACTGACTTCCAGTTCTTTATTTTTTCCCCACTACCACTATTTTGTTTGGTAGTTTGTGCTGAGAGACAGTGACTGGGTTATTTTATTATGTTGTTTTTAAGAAGCATGTCCAGAATGATTTATTCCTTAGTAGTTTACCAAATAATTTAAACTCATCATCTCCAATATATATTTTAGATTAGAACTTTCATTTTATAGGCAATCTGAATTGCAAACACCACATATATTTCTAGCAAACCCCAAAACAAGCACCTTCCTCAATCAGACATTTGCTAGATTCATTGGATAACCTAGAGAATAATTTTCAATCACTGACTAGTCTGAAAAGGCTGGGACTCATAGGGATTTTAACTCAGTGCATCTGGAGGCCACCAAAATGGAAGAAAGCAGACTTCCAGCTTGGTGTCCCAGCGATGCAGTCGGGGAAATAGCAGGCTCTGATGAGCCCCGCGAAAACCCCGACTGACAAACCGCCACCGATGGGTCTTTGGACTGAACCTATCTTGCAGGGACAGGGGAAGGAGAGGGTGCCTCGGACAGCCAAGAGGAACAGGCAAGCTCCTTGGAGGCTGGAGGGAACCCTCTGAGTCGGCGGCGGGGGGAGGCAGCCATGGGCGGCTGCCACGAAGCTGGGACAAAAGAATTGTGCAGGAGGAAAGAAGAAAGAAAGAACAATGTGCTTTGAAGCCAAGTGAGTGACACCAACCCAGGCGAGAAACAACGTTAGAGTATGGACTTTTACTAATAAGACCCCTAGCCTTAAATAGCGGCTGTAGATTTCCAGGGCTTGAAGATTTTGTAAAGTAACAATAGGGGATAACGACCCATTAAGGAATTTACTTTAGTACTGATTGTTTTGGACGAATTGGCTATTAACAAATTAGAAAACTGAGTTTTCCTTCAAATTGGAACAGATTCGATCTTTGGAAAAAGAGAAAAGCGACAAGTAAAGACTTAACACTTTTAAAAGTTAGATGAAGCGAGGCAAACGGATGGTTACATAATTGCTACAAAATGGAGATTGCTGTGACTAAGCGAAAGTGGGAATTGCAGAGACTCGCCTTCTGCTTGAAAAAGAACTATTTTGGCTGGCTATTTATCCTGGATTACTTAGAAAATAACTATGGATTTTTGGATTTTGGGGATTCCTATTCTGCCTATGGATGGTTTCATAAAGAAAGAAGAAATATAATGGGACTAATAAAATCGAAACTAGCTGGCACAGGAACAAAAGAAGTGGTGCAGGAACAAAAGTAGATAAACCGATGGATTCTACATGGAACAGACTTTACAACAGAATTAAAATGATATATAGAGTTTCAAACATGGATATACTGATTTTGAAGTGGAATACTTATGGACAGATAGGGAAATGAAGAAATAAAATAGATAAAATTAAAAGGTAATGTTTAAATGTTTAAATGAGTTTTAAATATAAGCAGGAGGTGTCTATGGAGAAATAAAGATGGAAAATAAAAGAAGGTAACTAAAATAGAAATTTGATGTTAAGGTGGTTAAAAATGATATTTTTACAAAAGCATAAGAGTATATATTAATATGAGACAAACTTAAGAAAATTTATTAGACTATGGGAGAATATGTGGAGAATATGTCTGATGTAACATGTTTTAATTTTAAATTGTAAACAAAGTTGAGAATGGTAAATATGATTAAATGTGAATGATTAATGAACAATTGGATGATAAAATAAGAAACACAGACTTACTGTATTTTTCGGAGTATAAGACGCATCTTTTTACCCCCAAAAAGGGGATGAAAATCTGGGTGCGTCTTATATGCCGAATGTAGCCCCGCCCTCCCACTGGCCCCCACCCTTGGGAGGTTTAGCAATGCTCTTGCAAAGCAGGCGCTTCTGCGTGGAGAAGTGTAAGGCAAGGTGCTCGCTGCCCAGCCTGCCCCTTCTCCAGACAACCCAGGCTGAGGGTGGTCAGCTTCTGCTCCTGGCCTGGGAGATGGATCTGGCCAAGAGGGAAGAGAAAGTGAGGCTGCAGAAAAGGAGGAGGGTGTGCAGCTTTGCTAATTGCTTCGGGGAATTGGGGAGGAAAACGCCAGAAAACGCGATACATGGAAGCAATGCTCTTTTTCCTCCCCAAAGCAATTCGCAAAGCCGAATTGAAGAATGGGTAGCCCGGGCGGCAAGCATCTTGCCTTACGCCTCTCCACGCAGAAGCACCTGCTTTGCAAGAACATTGCCTCCATGCGTCGCATTTTCCGGCATTTTCCTCCCCGATTCTCCAATGCAATTTGCAGAGCCGCGCACCCTCCTTCTTCTTGGTGGCTAAAGGGGAAGAAGAAAACTCTGGGCACGTTGAGAAAGCACACTCTCCTGTTGCTGGAAGAAGGTCGAAGTTGGTTCCCCCCTCCCCTTTCTTTCTTCTTCACTGCTTTTCTGACTCGTTGATAAATGATCCTGGGAGAAAGCCGCCACTGCAGCTGCCGCTGATCCGTTTTGGGCGGTCAAAATGCCAAGTGGCTGTGGGGAGCTGAGACATTTCTCCTTCACACCGCCCCCCCCAGCTGCTCAGTGCAGTTCAGTTTAAGAGAGCGGGGGGGGGGGGGGGACCAACCTCGACTGCAGCTGGAGTCCCTCTGGGCATGAAGACCATTTGGGAGGAGAAGGTGGCTGAGGAGGGAGGAGTGTAGGCACAGGGGGTGGGGGAGACTGCAGGAGAATCAGCCCTTCTCCCCTTCTTCCAGCAACAAGAGTGTGTGTGTTCTCAACGTGCCCAGAGTTTTCTTCTTCCCCTTTAGCCACCGAGAGCTCCGAGTTCTCCCAGGATCTGCCTGGAAGCAGCTCCAGCAGTTCTGATGGCTGCCTTCATAACTTGTGCGAGGACTGGAGATCCCCACCCCCTATACCAGCAGACTTCTTCTTAACTTCCTGAGATTACTGCCCCCCTGAAAATCATCCCCGACCCCACCCTACCCAGTCCAGTTAAATAGATAGGATTTATTTTAAACTGATAAAAAGATCTGTGCTACTCATTATCAAAATCCAAATGGAAGTGAGGATGCCGGTGATCCTGATGCTGGTAGGCAGAGGCAGAATTCTTTTTTTCTTGTTTTCTTGCCCCAAAATTAAGGTGCGTCTTATACTCCGGTGCGTCTTATACTCCGAAAAATACGGTAAGTAACAAATTGCGATTGAATTTAATGTATGCTGGAAATGATCAACATTAAGAAATAGGTTGGGAAACACCCTGGAAGAGTATATTTGGAAATAATTAAATAATAGATAAATATACTGAAAAGAAAACAGTCAAAACAAGATATGCTGGGTATCAGCCAAACAAGAGTTGGAGATGTGGAGGAGAATATGCTGGAAATCAGCCAAAATAAAATTTGCTAGAAATCAGCTAAACAATAGTTGGAGATATAGAGGAGAATATACTGGAAAATAGTCAAATTAATATGGAGTGAAAAATAATATGTTGGAAGACAATTAAAATAAAGTGAAATGATTTTGAGATTAATATGTGTAAAATGAAATGTGTCATAGATGATAAGCTCAAGAAAATTAAGTGTAACTTGACAAAGTTTAAGATCTAAAGATTGGATGAAATGGGTCCAGACATTAAGAAATACAGATAGAATTTTGATTTATAAATTGAAATAAAAATAGAGTTGTACATATTGGAAATTAAGATTTGTGGTGATAAAATAGTAAGGTAAATACTTAGATCAAGAGGTTATAATATTTCTTAAATTTGTGTTTTGATATTGATGTTAAAAGAAGTAATGGAGAAAATTTAGGAAAGAGTTAGAATGAATTTTGATTTATAATTGGATATAAAAATGAGTGGAGTTTATTTGGGAATTAAGATTTGTGGTGATATAATAGTATGGCCTAAATTAAGATGTTAGAATTTATGTTAAAAAATTTTGTTTTGATTTGTAATTTTAAAAGATGCAATGAGGAAATTTTGAATGGAGTTTGTTAAAAAATGTAAGCGATTGTACCTATTTATGACTGGATCAAGACTTCGTTCTTAAAAGATACATTTGATGTTTATGTTTGAAAAAAAAAATTAAAAATGGGAGAAAGCAGCATTAATATCTTTAAAATCTGCTGACTTTGACCAAAAGTGTGAAAGTCAAGAAAGAGCTGATCCCTTACCATTTTTTCCCGTTTTTAAATACATGCAAGTCAAGTGGAACATAAACAGTATCTTTTCTTTTCATTCCCAGGTTCACGCAAAAGCTTAATATGGATCTTTCTGGGTTGCAATCTTCACCTACTGATGGGAGACTTTTTTAGTTGTGGGATGAGGTCCTCTCTGACAACTGTCTCTGCCTTCTTACCACACAAGTATCCATTTCACTGAATTTGGAAACCGAATTTCTCTTGATGCAACCTAACATCCTGTCCCCCTTTTTTTAAAGCTACATTTTTCATGGTTGATTCTGATTTATTTTTTTATTTTTTTTGTAAACACTGTGTCAGATATCTTGCATCTTGGATGGATTAACATTCATGATTAATGGTTAGGATCTTTTTAGCCACATAACACATCCTGTTTTGCATGCTTAAATAGTAAAGGCTAGAGCAGTGATGGCTAACCTTTTCAGGACTGAGTGCCCAAAGCGTGTGTGTGCATATGCGAATGCGCATGTGCCAAACCCCCAAAATTCAATGCAGTGCCCCTGTGCATGCGCCCTGCCCTCCACGCATGCGTGAGCAGCCCCCTGCATGTGGCCCGCCCCCCCGTGCATGTGCAGCAGAGACCCGAAGGCCAGCTGGCTGGCGCATGGGCAGCAGAACTGAACTGGGGTGACAGCTTGCGTGCCAGCAGAGAGGGGGTTGTGTGCCATCTCTGGCACGCGTGCCATAGGTTCGCCATCATGGGGCTAGAGTCTCCTTAAGGTATAGTTACCTGATTTGACTTTTGACATCAAAAATGCTTTGATGAATCCAAAAATGTTTGCAGCATTTTCTGCTGGGATGTTGGAATAGATGTTGTTAAATCCCTTCAGTCTAGGAGACATAATAATTTGACAAGTAAAGGACTTTCCTGACTTTAGGGATACAACCAAGCAGTTTTGTGGCAGCAATATTGGAAGAGCTTTGCTGTTGCTTTCTCTCAGTTGAGGGAAGCCCCCCCCCACCCCCCAAAGAATGAAATATTTTGAGGAATATTTTAAAAAGGCAGAATATTATATTTCCCTAAATGAGAAATGGAGAAACATGTTTTTTTAAGAGGCAGAAAGCAGCCCCAGTCTCCCTGCCTGCAAACAGAAACTGAGGAGGCATCTTTTAGAAATGCAGATTTGGTAATCCATTCAAGACAGGATATTTTGCAGCAAAGTCTGAACAAAGGCAGAATGGTAGGATTAGAAGCAACCCCTTACTCAAGATCTAAAACAGGATGAACACAAGCCCCTTGATTGCATACATACAGCCAGCAGTTCAAAGTCACAGAAACCTGGGAGTTCAGATAAACAATAAGCCAGAGGTTGACCAGATTGGCTCAGACAAGCACCTAAGATTTGCTTTCCTCTTTTGCCTATAGAGCCAGCTATGACCACTACATGACCCCATAGGAATCTGACAACAGCCAGTAGAAATATTAAAGAGCATGTTATTGCACAGGAACAGGAAGCTCAAGTACAAAGCCCAAAGAAAATATAAAACACCCCCACTCTCAACTCCATTTTATCACAAACTCTGGTGGTTCATCATTAAACCATCTTTCCAATTAGCCTCCATGTTTCCAGTGTCTTTCTCCCAGCTTGGAACTGAGCCAGATGTATATTTCTTCCAACACAGTCTAGCCCACAACCCTGCAATTTTTGAAACTGTCTCACCCACTTAGTACTAATCAATCCCAAGCCTGTTTCCATCTAGCTGGGTACAAATGGGCCTCCACTTACAGCTCAGCTTCTAATAAATTCATGGATGTGTCTAGGGAGATTGTCTGGCAACATTACAGGAGTAGTTTGGTTTGCCTTCTTCTGGGACAGTTATTTAACTTCTCAGTCTAACTTGCAGTTCTGATCTTCCTGATTGTCTCCCATCCTGAACTTGTTTCTAGGTCAGTCAAGGACAGTTATGGCTACACAATTCTCAAAATGTGTCCCTATGCAATACCTTTTCCATGGCAAAGAATCAATGATTGATTATTCCAACATGTTTTCCAATATATTCTACCAGGTCAGCTAAAGAGCTAAGCCCTCGCTGTTAGTAGAGGAGAGGGCAATGCTGCAAAGGCTGCAAATATTAGGATCCCTTCAACCTCTGGGGGATTTGGACACTCCCCTTTCTTGAAACACTGGGGGACTTATTAAACTAATGAGCTAAGTAGCCTGAAGAGCAAGGTGGTGGGATAGGGACTGAGGATTACAAACTGGGGATGGTGACTTATTCTCCCCCTCGACTGTCCCTCTTTCCCCTTATTAGATCTAGGTCTATTATGACCACTCAGCATTAACTTGCAATCTTGGATCGATCTGCAGCTTTATTTAAACACCTATCCTCCAAAATTACCCTGATCATTCAATCCTATGTACTCTGTCCAGTGGCTCCACCTTACTTTTTTGATCTAATCCTCGGCCATCACTGGTGTCAGGACTGGAGGAGATACAGACATCGAGAGTCTTGGATTATAGGGAGATAGATCACCTTCTCTTTGTTCGTATGATGCTGGTTTGGTCACCATGAGAGGGCGACCCTTTGAGACTTCTACCCCCACCTCCTTTTTTGGATGGACTTAACTACAACCATAAGACTTCCCATCGTCATGAGAGGGCAATGATGTTCTGATGTATTGACACTTGTTAACATAGTGGTCTTCCTTTAACATCTATTCCCTCCCTTATTTTAATTTGCCTGTCTTAACCATCTCTAACACTCTTAGATATGTATCCGTGTGTATATAATGGCTGAATTATTTTCTCTGTAACACCCAAACAGTTGCAGTGTTAAAGCTTCATACTTGCCTGTAATAAAGATTATAATCAGGTCTTGACCTCCCTAGAATGGGCTTTACTGTATGATGTGGGTGTGTTCTATAGGTAAAGTGGGGAAGAGAACTCCTCTGATTGTACTACCCTCCCCCCCCCCAAAAAAAACCTTGTTAACTGTTTCCTCTTTTGGCATGCAGGACAGCTTGGGTTAAGAGAAGATAGAAAAACATCTAATAAATAATGTCTCTGCAGTGGGCTGGTGATGAGATGAAGGCAGCAAGGATCCAACTCCTTGGCCATGGGACTACATCTTTCAGTGGTCAGTAACAACCTTTGCTTATCATGGGGTAATGGAGCCAAGGTTTTTTTTATAGGGGGGAAACAGCTGTAATGCATGGAAGACATACTCACATTTGTTGGTAGGAGTCACAAGATATCCTGAGTGGGAGGAAGACCACCTGGCTTCTGTTCACAGCATGCAGCACATTTTGGAATGCAGATTGGAACCAGTAGGTGAAATCCTTGGGTTTGAACTTTGCAAAGTTTACAGCTAATTTTCGCAATGTGATGCCAAGAATCAAATCACAATTGTCACTGCTCTGCAATTCCATCTGTCAAGAGACAAGCTCCTCAATTTGGTAAGTAGGTCAACTCCCTCACTGCCCATTTCTGACACCCTCTTCTTCAAAAGCTGCACAGTGAGCTTCACAGTACTTTTAGATGAGGAATCATCTGTCATGATTGCAAAATAATATTTGGGGGAGGAATGCTTTTTTCTTTTTATCTGTGATAAAGTATAGAAAATATCATTTCCTGCCAAATGTTGACAACACTGAGTCCTTGAAGAGCTCTTCAATTTAGGATTGCTGTATTCAAATCAGGTTTTTTTCTTGCACTATATAAATTGTACATTTCCTAAATAATAATCTTGATACATGTAAATATTCTGAATAGAAAAACTGAATATTCTATAAGTTAGAATATTTATAGAATATAATATTCTACAATTAAATAGAGAATAAGTACTATTGTATAAACAGAATATTTAGAATAGAGGTGGCTTTGGTGGTTGTCTGGGAACCCAGTAGGGGGAATACCACACTGCAGATGGCTACTAGATTAGTGGCAAAGCCCATTATCTCCCTTGCTCTTTGCTTCTCCATTCACTCATCTTTATTCTCATATTTTATTTTTCTTGTTTATTCTATAGTTCCATTGCTTTGCTACTGTTACGTCTATGCTTAATTTCTCCATTTTTATTGTTGTAAGTCATCTAGATTAGCCCCAAAGTGAGATAGGCAGAAAATAAATTTAACAGATAAATAAGAAATGTTTAAAATTGGGCACATCTCCTTTAGATTTTATCTTTGTTTGTGTTAAATATTTGAACAGCAGCATCTGGCAGAAATTTGTTTTGTTCACCTTTTTCACAAGCCTTTTGTTCCCCATCTTTTCCAAACCCCTTAAACAAAATTCATGTACCGCAGCAAATTTATTCAGCTGGTCAAGGAATCTGGCCAGATCTGCCATGGTGTCCAAGTGGTTCATGATCTCCATTAGAAGGCTTCCATCATTCCAGGCTTCCAGAGTTATGAGTAATTCAGCCAATTGGCTTGAAGACAGTTTTGCCAGGACTGAAACCTGAAAATGTACATTGTGCTGATTATAAAAGGCGTCTAGGAAGAGCTGAAGCTCAGGGTTTGGGCACCTGATTTGCAGTACTTACCTAGAACTATGGGGAACAGTTTCACCTTGCACTGATTTCTGAAGCAGCTGTCACTTTTTCTTAGAAAATTCAAGATGCTCAAAATAAATTCAGCAAAAGGACAAATATAGGAAAAATAAACCTAAGAAAGTGGCCTTGAGACCCTAGGGCAATCAAGAGAACTATCCAATGCTCCAATTTTTCTGTAAGTGATGAGAAAGGGATTCTTGTTTTCTTGCTAGCTTCAGAATTACATAAGTTCACTTACCGCATTAAAATTAACATTCACTGACAAGAACTCTTCAATGCTCGCAAGGGCACTAAATCGGCCATAGTTGCTGAGAAGCCAATGGGTGCTGTTGGCATCTGGAGAGCAAGTAGTACCTAGAAGGCAGCAAAGACAAGGAGTTTGTACCCATTTCCCCAGAGCAGAAATTACAGTGCTGACCTCTTCATGAGATAATTGGTGTTTGAAGGTCCATCTAGCATCATACCATGGAATATAGCTGGAGTACAGAAATTTTTAGAAATCCCAGAGATCATTGAAGGTTTCCTTAGTGGAAGGGTAAGTCAGATGGGGGTTCCCTCTGAGATTTCTCCTGCTTTGTCATTTATGGAAAAAGAACTTTTCTTTCATTCTCTTGCCTCTCTTGCCCCACACTTTGTAAAGAGGGGATTAGTGTGGGGGGAGAATTGGTTTTCCCCACTACCAGTTCTCATTCAGTTGGATGAAAGGAAATTCATCCAACTATACTTTTTGAAATTTCTTTTTCTTAATTTTTTTTATTAGGTTATAGAGTATTATAAAATACAAAATACAAAAGTAAATAGAAGAACAATGGGGGGAGGGGAAAGGGGGAAGTGAAGTGAGGAAAGATGGGGGGGAGGAAAAGAAGCATTGATTTCTAACATTTTTTGAAATTTCTTTCAAAGGAGGAGATAATTACAGTGAAATTCTCCTGATTGAGATGTGGTGTTCTTGCATTCATTTAGTAACAAAGGGCCCCAGTCAAAGCCCAGTTTTCTGTGGAATCCTCCTCTCTCCAGTGGCCTAAATTCTAATAAATCCTGTTTCCCCAAAAGAGGACATCGCCTCTTCTTGAGAAGCAGCGGGTGTGCATGATGAAGAAGAGATTGCAAGTGATACCATGTGTAGGCATCATGACTACACTGTGCCAATGATATAAGACAATAATAGAAATATATAATTTTAAAAATGTGTGTGATTATGTCTTGATACATATATCATGTTATCGTGGCTTGTTTCTTGGGTGCCAATTTTCTTCTTCTACTAGAGAAGACCAGCTATCTTCTCTTCCCTAAAATTTTGTGGAGACCTTTTAAAAGCAGGAGAAGCATGTTGCTGGTCCCATCTGCTAAAGAGTTCCATCTGACAGGACCCAGAAGGCAAGCTTTTACTGCTGTGGCACCTACGCTGAGGTGAGATTAGCCCCAACCTTAGGGCACTTCAGAAAGCCCTCAAAATAGGACTTTTCATTAGACCTGGGGGCACCATGGCACCACATGATGATTTAGCATTTCATAATCTTGTTTTTATGCTTATTGTTTGTTGTAATTGGTTTTCATATTTGCTTTTAATGGTTGATTTTATTATACCTTGTGCCATATAGATAGCCATGTAAATTTGATAAATAGATAAACAACCCTTTTGCAGTCAGCTCTAGTTGGAACCACTATAGCAGGTAGCACTATGCAGCTAAGCATCACTGATTTTGAAAAAGCAAAGGACAGTACAGTACTGCTCAGTATTAGGATGGGAGATCACCCCAAAAAATCATAAGGCTACAAACTAGGTTGAAAAATGTATCCTGCATAAAGATGATAGGAAACTTCCAAATGGTTGCCAAATAACTGCTTTAAAGACCTGTCCACCCTGGCAATCCAGATTTTAGACCTTGGGTTGGTAGAGAGATTATTTTCTGCCTTAGCATTCTTTGTCTGATGCAATGCATTCTATTATAGTACCAGCAATAGCACTTAGACCTATAAATCATCCCCTATTGCTTTACAGCACTATCTGGGTGGTTTACATGTCAGCATATTTTCCTCAACAATCTGGGTCCTTATTTTATTGACCTTGGAAGGATGGAAGGCTGAGCCAACCTTGAGGCCTGTCAGGATCAAACTCCAAACTGTGGGCAGAGATTGCCTGCAATACTGCATTCTAACCATTGCACCACCAGGGTTCCTGAATCAGCCTTGCCCAACTTCACATCCTCTGCTTGTGTTAAACAGGTTTTCATAATCCTCAGCCAGTATAGGATAGCGAGAGGTGTCCAATCCAACATTTCCAGGCTGTAATGATGGGAAGGCTGCATGACATTCTTACATCCCTACCTTCTCTCGCCTGATATATTTTCAGGTAGTTCAATATCCTCCCATGAATAGCTTCCTTCTGTTCTGCTGTTAAAACATTGTATGGTTTCTCCATGGCCTTCACCCTGAGATAAAGCAAGCAGAATACGCATATTGATTTAAGAAATCTCTGTACCGTTTCTCACTATGAAAAACTAATAAACAAAATTGCAAAGCTCTTTGCTACCTTAATCATAAGAACAATATTTTGGAATAAAAACCAGAGAAAAGAAAGAAGCAATAGAATAATCTGCTCAGAGAAGGGGTGCGGTCTTTGCAAACAGAGGCTGGGGACAGCAAAAGGGATTTCTGCACTGCAAAGGGGTTGGACCAGGATTCTACTTATCTTTACTACTGGTTTGCAGAAGCTTCTACATATGCGCAGAAGCATTTTGATGACATCGGGGTCGGTGGGCAGAACCTCCCGCCAGTTTTACTACCAGTTCTATAGAACCGGTGCGAACCAGGGCCAAGCCTAATCCCTAAGGTACTATCTAGCTTCTATATAGATTCTATGCGTTTATGAATCTATGGACTAAAAAAAATCATTTGAAGGACAGATACAGGGGGACATTAATAACTGAGGAGAAAGAGCATAAAATGGTATCTTTCAAAGATGTCCAATTGACATCTTTGAGGGGGTCTTGCCAAGAAGCAATCCTTCCCCAATGCAGACACTCCACAAGGAAGGTCTGGTAATTGGCCATCTGGAACACCTCGCCTGAAGAGAACTGGACCTGGCTAGTCCTTGGACTGGACTTCATAGGCTAATCTAGGAAGAAAAAAACATTTTTGCAGGAACAGAAGGGCAAACCACTTTTATCCACCTTCTAAGAAAATAACAAGTGTGCATGGAGTTACTGTAATTGGGCTGAATTCTAATGAGACTTTGTCAATTTTATACCAATACCAAACAAGGTCTTGGGCCAGGGGTAGAAAGAAATCTGGAGCAGCCCTAAAGCAAAGTACAACCTCTACTTGGGCTGCATTCTGCCCATGTTGTGGATTCCAGACCAGTCCAATGGTAGGCTGGCATACTACAGCACCTGAAACAATATGCAGCAGCAGTGAAGAGGATGCAGATAAGAACTGCAGGATGGATGCCTTTCCTCTGACCCATCACAGTTGGCTTTTCCTCCAGTTCTTTCATTCTCTCCAGACCTCCAAACCTACTGTTTGTTCATAACTTGTGGCATGGTCTGTACATTGCACAAAGTCATGCCTTGTTTCCATTCTGCTTTGTTGAACAAGCCACACATTGTTGGGTACAAACAAGTCATAGTAGCTGATTTCAGAAATCACAAAAAACCAAAAGTAAACAATGAGACACATGATTCCAAATGCAGTGAAAGGGAAGTATAAGGAGATGCTGAAATTACATGGATATCAATAGAGAAATGATTTTGGACTAACAAGTGTTGGTGTGATTGGCAGTCTACATCGAGTGGGATCAGCTGCAGGTCCTTGGGTGATAAAGCTGTCAGGAACAGCTGGAGCTGAGTTCCAAACCAAAAAGAGTATTGCTCAGCAGTAAAGGTGCCAAACTTGAGTGTCTTGAAGACCATTCTGAAAATTAAATCACGGACCCGGAGATCTGGGAGGACAATCAGGTGCTTCTGCCAGAGAAAGAGAGAAGATCCTGCTTGACTTGCATGTTCAAAAATTTTCCTGGAAATTTCAAATTTAGAACTAGGACTGACAGGGGAGTTGGGTGCACGACTGAAGTCCTGACTCTTTTTAATATGCAGCACACATGGTTCTATTATTCTATAATAATTATATAATATAATTACATAACAAGAATACGATATTATATGACAACATAATGTGGTTAAATTATAATAATAATGCAGCATATAACTCAAGTGGTTATGTCTGTGTCTAACTTTTATTAAATCTTTCCTGCAGATATCAGTCTATTTATAGACTGGTTTGAGGCAGAAAGCTTTCCAAAATCTGAAACTATCTGAAAATGCTAGAATACAGTATAACAGAGTTGGAAGCGACCTTGGAGGTCTTCTAGTCCCAACCCCTTGCTCAAGAAGGGTCTCTGAACAAATGCCCAATCTGTTTTAAAAAACCTAGAGTGATAGGGCCCCATAAGTTCTGCAACCCAACAAGACAGACAAAGACTTTAGAACCATGATGGCGAACCTATGGCACGCGTGCCACAGGTGGCACACATAGCCATATTGGTGGACACACAAGCTCAGCTCTGGTGGGACCAGAAGTTGGCAAACGGGCCATCTCTAGCCTCCGGAGGGCCTCCAGGAGGGTGGGGAAGGCCGTTTTCGCCCTCCCCAGGCTCTGGAGCCTGGGGAGAGAGAAAAACAGGCCTAACAGGCCCACCGGGCCATCATGTACCAGGAGTGGGGGGAAGCGGAGGGGTCACGTACACATGCACGGGATGCATAGAACTATGGGTGTGAGCACGCGTGCGCGTGACCCCCCCTCCCCTGGAACGCGATGGCAAAAAGGTTAGCCATCACTGCTTTAGAGGATAATTAGAACTGCAAAAAAAAAAACAATTACTGCAGAACTGCAGAAAAAACAATTACTACCAACCTGCTTTCCATTGAGGACCTGTATACTGCACGAGTCAAAAAGAGGGCTGTGAAAATATCTACAGACCCCTCACATCCTGGACATAAATTGTTTCAACTTCTACCCTCAAAATGACGCTATAGAATAGAATAGAATAGAATAGAATAGAATAGAATAGAATAGAATTAGAATAGAGTATAGAGTAGAGTAGAGTAGAGTAGAGTAGAGTAGAGTAGAGTAGAGTAGATAGAATAGAATAGAATAGAATAGAATAGAATAGAATAGAATAGAATAGAATAGAACAGAACAGAACAGAACAGAACAGAACAGAACAGAACAGAACAGAACAGAATTCTGACCCTGTTGTTCCGCCAGGCCGGGCTATCAACATAATAATTTTAAATTGGGGTATTTTAAGTTTTCGGGGTCTTAAACCTGGCCAAATTTATTTAATTATTTTAATTTTTAATCATTGTTTTGTCTTGTGTTTTTAAATTGGCTGTACACCACCCTGAGTCCTTCGGGAGAAGGGCAGTATAGAAATAAAATTATTATTATTATTATTATTATTATTATTATTATTATTATTATTATTATTATTATTATTATTATTATTATTATTATTATTATTATTATTATTATTTGTTGGCCAAGTGTGATTGGACACACAAGGAATTTGTCTTTGGTGCATATGTTCTCAGTGTACATAAAAAGACAAGAGACATTCGTCAAGAATCATAAGGTACAACACTTAATGATAGTCATAGGGTACAAATAAGCAAACAAATCATACTAGGGAACAATCAATATAAACCGTAAGGATACAAGCAACAAAGTTTAGTCATGCAGTCATAAGTGGGAGGAGATGGGTAATAGGCATGATGAGAAGATTAATAGTAATGTAGACTTAGTAAATAGTTTGACAGTGTTGAGGGAATTATTTGTTTAGCAGAGTGATGGCGTTCGGGAAAAAACTGTTCTCGTGTCTTAGTTGTTCTGGTGTGCAGTGCTCTATAGCATCGTTTTGAGGGTAGGAGTAGAAACAGTTTATGTCTAAGATGCGAGGGGTCTGTAGATATTTTCACAGCCCTCTTTTTGACTCCTGCAGCATACAGGTCCTCAATGGAAGGCAGGTTGGTAGCCTTTGTTTTTTCTGCAGTTCTAATTATCCTCTGAAGTCCGTGTCTGTCTTGTTGGGTTGTATAACAAACCAGACAGTTATAGAGGCGCAGATGACAGACTCAATAGTTCCTCTGTAGAACTGGATCAGCAGCTCCTTGGGCAGCTTGAGCTTCCTGACTTGGCGCAGAAGGAACATTCTTTGTTGTGCTTTTTTGATGATGTTTTTGATGTTAGGCGTCCATTTTAGGTCTTGAGATATGATAGAACCTAGAAATTTGAAGGTCTCTACTGTTGATACTGTGTTGTTTAGTATTGTAAGAGGTGGTAGTATGGGAGGGTTTCTCCTACACCCTTTCTATTTCCACCATTTCTATGGTTTTGAGTGTGTTCAGTTCCAGATTTTCTGGTCGCACCACGAGGCTAGTTGTTCAACCTCCCGTCTGTATGCAGATTCATCGTTGTCTCGAATGAGACCAATGAATGTATCATCTGCAAACTTCAGTAGTTTAACAGATGGATCATTTGAGATGCAGTCATTGGTATATAGAGAGAAGTGGAGAAAGCACACATCCTTGGGGGGGCCCTGTGCTAATTGTACAGGTATCTGATGTGATTTTGCTTAGCTTCATCTGCTGCTTCCTGTCTGTTAGGAAGCTTGTGAGCTATAGAGCACTGCACACCAGAACAACAATTAGCAGAAGAACAGTTTTTTCCCGAATGCCATCACCCTGCTAAAAAATAATTCCCTCAACACTGTCAAACTATTCGCTAAGTCTGCATTACTATTAATCGTCTCATCGTTCATACCACCCATCTCCTCCCACTTATGACTGTATGACTGTAACTTTGTTGCTTGTATCTTTATGATTTATATTGTTTCTCAGTATGATTTGATTGCTTATTTGTACCTTATGACTATCATTAAGTGTTGTACCTTATGATCCTTGATGAATGTATCTTTTCTTTTTATGTACACTGAGAGCATATGCACCAATGACAAATTCCTTGTGTGTCCAATTCTATTCTATTATCTATAACTTCTGGAAGCACGCCATTTCACCGGTTAATTGTTCTCACTGTTAGGAAATGTTTTCTTAGTTCTAGGTTGGATCTTGCCTTGATAAGTTGAGAAGTTTGCTTTTCTCTACACTATTTTTACACTTATTTCTTTGTAATATGATGACCAAAACTGGATATGACATTCCAAGTGTCTTCTTGCCAAAGTAATAAAAAGTAGTACTAATATTACATGTGATCTTGATACTATTCCTCTGTTGATGAAACCTAGGACTGTGTTGGCTTTTTATGGCAGCTGTAGCACACTGCTGGTTCACCTACATCCCTATCACAGTTACTGCTGTTGAGCCAGGTACCATCTATTCTGTACCTGTGCATTTGGTTTTTTTCTTACCCAAGTGTAAATCTTACCCACCAACACTGCTGATGTTACCTAGTTACCCTAACCCTCACAGGTCAGCACTGCGGTCACTGCTACCACCATCGCCCACTGCGATGGATAAAACCATCCGTATGGAACAGAAACTAATCAGTAAAATATATAAATTTTTATTACGGTATAAAATGGAAGAGGAAATAGTTAAAGATACTATGATTAAATGGGCAAGGAACTTCAATCAGACAGTAGAATTAGGGAAGTGGGAAAAGATGTGGCAAATAAACATGAAATTGACATTATCAACGGCATCCAAGGAAAACCGGTTGAAAATGTTCCATAGATGGCGTTTACCTCCAGCCAGAATAGCGGAATAGAAGGAAACATCTGCAAGAAAACAAGCAGAGCACCGAGGACCCTAGCTTCAACCCTGAGCTACAAATATTCTCCTTCACTATGTAAAATCTTACTTTTCTCACCACTGAATTGTATTTTGTTAGATAGGGCCCAGTGTTCAAGCCTGCCAAAATTTTTCTGCATTTGACTGTATCTTCTAAATTGTTGGCTATCCCCCACAGCTTGGTGTATCTGCAAATTTGATGAGTTCCCTTCATCTAAATTGATGCTGAAGAGTTTTGAGCCTGAGAGAACCTTGCATGCTTCTCTCCATGTAGAGGACTACATGCTGAGTGAGATTGATCAGCTAGTTATGAATCTGGTGGTGATGCTGTCTATCCCACATTTTTCCATCTTACCAAGAAGTAAATTGTGGTCCTAAATTGTTCTGTATGGTTCCACTGAGTGGCAACTTTTTTCCAGGTTCAAAAACTACAGAGAAAATGAATTTGATTGAAATAGCTATCTTTCAGTATTCATTGTACCCAACAAAAAAGGAAATGCCTAGTGTTAGTAAAAATAAACTAACTCAAGAACATGGTAGCAAAAGGGTCAAAATAGAAAAAATTACCTGTTTTGCTGCAGCATTAAATTCAATCATAAAATCCATGAGAGAGGCAGAAAGCCGTCTCTCCAATTCAACCAAAATCTGTATAGCCAGGAATTCATCTTTGAAGGCATCAGTAACAATCATCATTTCTCCCATTTGCTTTGGGGACAGCAGGGAAAGGACTTCGAACTTAAAAAATAAATACACAGAATTTTACAGAGGATTTCAATGGTATCAAAGAAATTCACTAGAAGTCCAGTCTTAAGAAAGTAGAGAGGCATTTTCTTCTATTTGTATTTTTAATAATTAAATTTAATAATTCCTAGTTAATATTTGATCCCATTAACTATTAACACATCTAGAGAAATAAAAGCTATTTCATTTTCTAATTAACAATGTCATTTAATAAGCAATAAAATAAGTACTGTTGTTAATCAACATCTAGGGCAATTTGTTTCTGACTAGCAATATACAGTATTTCTGAGCTACCAAAAATAGTTTCTGAAGATTGCTTACTTTTACCTACCCCATTAAAATCCTTATATAATAAGAGGAAGTCAGTGTATCTAGCAAAATGTGCAAATTTGTAAAACATTTGTTGCAGAAAAACTTGGCTGCTGTTGTAACTGCCAGGAAATATTGTTCCTAAAAACAAGAGGAGAAAATGGCTCTTAGAAACAGGTTATTTCAGCAAGACTCTGAAAACCTGACTGCTAAAGCGTTATTCCATTGAATTCCATATGATTACCTGAGACATTGAGCTGAAGTTTCATGATAGTCTTCATCAAATTGTAGATCTGGAGAGATGTGTCTTGAGATAACTCAGGATAGACCTGGTCTAAGCCTCCAAAACTGCAATCAGATGCAAAAATGTAGGAGAGGAAATTGTACAATGCACAGTAAGACATCTCACTCATAAAGTCACACAAAGATTACAAGAAGAGCTGACCATCACATTTCCATCCATCAAAATTTCACAAATTCCACTTCTCATTAGAAAAAATATTTAAGAATGACAAGTAACTGTTGGTAAATTGATATGGAGTGAAAAGAGAGCATAGTTACTGAATAAGATTCTAAAGAGAGAGGTGGTCTTGTCCTTCCAATATTAAAGTTTATATAAAGGAAGATGCCTGTAGATAAAATAACAATAACTAATAACCCCCAAAACCAGGAAAAACAAATTACCCATAACAATAAGGAAGCTTCAGACCCCCCAAAAAACCCCCTCTTTGGCAGAAAAACAAAACTGGCTACATAGCTAACTTCAAAAGTCGCTACAAAACCTTATGCTGACAGATAAAGGCAGAATGCATCAGTTATCACAGCAATTATCTAATACATGCTTGATGAAATAAATAAATAAATAAATAAATAAATAAATAAGTAAATAAGTAAATAAGTAAATAAATATCTGAATAGGGGAAGGAATTGGTTTAGTCTTCAGAGATACAAAGGAGGATAAAAATTTAAAAGGTCATATTATTTGAAAAATGTTGATAAAAGTATAGAATTCCACAAATGGAATAATAAGCCTAACAATTTCACCTCCAGCTTCTCCTTCAAATACTTCATGGAATTAACTGCAGTAAAATAAATGTAATTGCAGATTACTCTCAGATTCTACAAATAGACTAAAAACATAGAAATACTTAGTGAAGTTTGCAAAATACTATGATTGATGTATTTACAAATAGACAGAGGACAAAATCAGATCTTAGGAAGGAATTAAGAAAAAGGGAAAGGACATTAAGAAAAAAACAGTATTTGAAACCCAAATACAAAACCAGCATCACTTATTGAGACACATGCTGTATATAAACACAAAACAAACAAAAACTGTATGATAAAATGGATGCAAAATTTTAAAGAAACAATTACAACACAATAGTGGGAAGGATTATGGACTAAATTTACACCAAGTTGTAATCTAAAGGAAAATTGGTATAAAATGTTCTACATATAGAAACCTGTATGTAGAAACTCATCAATTTATCTAAGACACAGGTAATCCTCAATTTACAACAGTTCATTTAGAGTGACTGTTACAACGGCATTGAAAAAAGTGATATGACCATTTTTCACAGTAACGACCGTTGTAGCTTCCCTATGATCACATGATCAAAATTCATATGCTTGGCAACTGACTTATATTTATGACGGTCTTCACATCCCAGAAGCCTTTTGCAACCTTCTCACAAGCAGAGTCAATGATGAATCTAGATTCATAAAACAACTGCAATGATTCACTTAATATTTATTTATTTATTTATTGAATTTCTATACTGCCCTTCTCCCGAAGGACTCAGGGCGGTGAACAGATTAAGATTTCATATACATATAATATTTTTTTTTATAAACAGTAAATAATAAATTGAGTCAACTTGGTGTATCTGCTAAGATAATAATAATATAATTAATAATTAATAATTGTGGCAAGAAAGGTCATAAAATAGGGCAAAATTCACTTAACAACTGTCTCGCTTAGCAACAGAAACTTTGGGCTCCGTTGTGGTCATAAATTGAGGACTACTTGTAGATAAATCATACATTAATAGATGTTGGATCAAACTGTTTCTTCTCTTCCCTGTGTACGGCAAGAGCACATTTCTGGGTAGTTATTGGATGGCTGTCGTATGTCAGCCCTTTTAGTGAGCTCCTTATTATAGCTGCTTTTATATGGTTGTAAAATAGTTTATTTGTTATCTAATATTATACAGTATATAATTATCTAAAATATTATCTATATAGTATATATTATCTAATAGAACACAGTCGGGAGGAAACCCTAAACACAACCTGGCAGCAACAACACCCAGACAGCCAAAGATAAAGGACTTGTTTCCGATAACAGACACTGCAAGTAAATCTTCTTCTTTTTTTGCTCTTCCCCCCTCATAACCTCAGTAAATAAGCCCTGCTCCTTACTGGAGTGGGAGGTGGATGACTGTCTTTCTCTGGAAAATGAGGCTCCATTAGGAGACAGAGGAGAGAACAAGGATAATACTAAGAGCAATTTTAAAACAGACTCAGATTTGGTTGCCAAGAATTGCCTCTTGACGGCACAAACAGTTATTGCTATATTGACCAGCTCTTGGAAGCAAACAAAAAGATTGAAGAATTAAAGTCTTTAATGTGAAACTACATCTCTAAATTAAGATAAGGAAGCAACTTCCGGTTTGGCGGTTTGGCGAGACAGTTGGGGAATTAGCAGGCTCTGATGAGCCCTGCGAAAACCCCAGTTGACGAACTGCTGCCGATGGATCTTCAGACCAGAACCGTCCTGCAGGGACAGGCACCTTGGACGACCAAGAGGAACAGGGAAGTTCCTCGGAGGTCAGAGGGAACTCTCTGCGCATCGGTGGCAGGGGGCGGCAGCCATGGCGGCTGCCATGAAGCTGGGACAACCAAACCAACTAATCTGCAGGAGGAAAGTGGAACGGAACTGAGTTTTTTGAAGCCGGGTGAGTGATAGCCAACCCAGGCTTGTAATAACATCAAGGGAAACATCTTTTTTTTTTAATTGAAAAAGTTTTTCAAATACAAATTTTTCCCCCTTTCCCCCCCCTCCTCCCTAACCCCCCTCCCCCTCCCCTTCCCCTTTGACTTCTTCATAGTAAAACCCAAATTCATAACAGATTATATCATACTTTACCATCCACTTACTCCATCTCCATATGCTGACCCTTTCTTTCTAATAAAATTATCATATCCCCCTTATACTATACTATAATATACATTTCAAAGTGACATTCTTTTATAACATTGTCTAATAACTCCTAATTTAACATAATATTATTATATCTCCCAATTTAACAATTTCCGCTCATGATCTACCCTTTTACTACCCCCCATACGGAATGCTTTTAAAAGTAAAAAAAAAAGATTGCACGCCACAGCTGATCACCCCCCTTGCGTGCTGTTCTACTTACCGCATGCCTCCTTTTGGCGTGTACTGCACCCGCGCACTTTGCATTTGGTACATGGTGCGCACTGTGCATGCGCAGCCAGCGAACCGGTAGTAAACCGGATCAGATTTCATCACTGCTTAGCCATGATAACAAGATGGCTCACTAGAAACTTCAAATAGTGAATGGATGTTCATTTGTCAAAGACGATCCTATACTGAGGAGGGGGATTAGCGCAGAAGATCTCTGAGATCCCATCCAACTCAGTGATTCTATGACTGTAACAAACTTTTCTTTCTCCTGCAAAGCCATCTAAACCATGGTCAAAACCATGTATCATCAAAATAAAAATATTACATGAAATATATTATGACAGCAAATTCCACAATGATACATTTGGCTGCATGAAAGGTCCAATTCATTTTTTCATGACCTCATAAAGGGCCAAATCCTTTTGCCAATCCGCCAAACTCACTAGGAAACTTGGAGTTTAAATATACGAAGAGAGATGCGTACTAAAGAAAGCTTGAGCAGATTGATCTTAAGGGGGGGCATGGGGCTGGGGGAGGAAAGGTAATACTTACATGGATCTGTAGGCAGAATAACTGACATCCAGTGGTATCAACTGCAACAAATTCACATTAATGCTAGGCAGAAGGAATGTTAGTTTATTCAAGAACCAGGATTCGTAGTCTAAAGCTGTAAATTTGTAGAAATAGCGTGCCAGGTTTGTCAAAATGGTACTCAGCAGCTCCAGCCTCACCTCAACATTTCTGAGTCTCAGAATGTTCTTCTGTAAAGAATTTCAAAAAGAAGGAAAGAAAAGAGAGAAGTTCTAAAGCTCTTCACTTAGATGGATACACTAAACCAGAGAGTGCATATTAGGCTGAATGGGTACTGGAAATTCATTTAGTCCATATTTTAAATTGGACAGCACCCTTTTATATTTTGTAACAAAGATCAGGCATCAACACAATTTGCCTGCGAAATGTGCATGCAAGAAAACTGCAGGAAAGCCAAGTTTGCTATGAAAATGATTTACTGAATGACGAACTGCACAGTGAGACCTTGATTTAATGGACTATTCAGGGAGATTTCCATTCTTCATAAATTGCTATTAAATATGAAATTCTGTCAGCATAGCAATTTATATTATTTATGTGAATATGCCATTATGCAAGTATGCAAATTTTATCATTTGTATCAATTTAATTTTATTTGTTCAATGTATATTTCCAATAATCAGCTAAATTGTTTGTATAATAATGCCACAATGCAATTGATGTAAGTTGCTATATATATGGTGCATATGTTTGTTTGTTTATGGAAATTTGTATGGCTGCCCAACCAGTGGTGAAATCTAAAATTTGTTACTACCAGTTCTGTGGGCGTGGCTTGGTGGTAATGTGACTGGGTGGGCGTGGCCATTTATTTATTTTTTACTTTTAAAACCATTTTTTCTACAACCTCTTCGGTGAAGAGGTTGTAAAAAATGCTTTCAAAAGGCTCTGACGATCCCAGCTGAGTTGCCTGATCGGTAGAGGCTTTTTTTCTTTTAAAAGACTCTGCCGATCAGGCAACTCAGCTTGGATCATCAGAGGCATTTAAAAGAAAAAAAGCCTCTGCTAATCAGGCAACTCAGCTTGGATCGTCAGAGGCTTTTAAAAGCATTTTTTCTACAACCTCTTCAGAGGTTGTAGAAAAAATACTTTTAAAAGCCTTTGACGATCCCAGCTGAGCCACACGATCATCAGAGGCTTCTTTTTTTTACTTTTAAAAGCATTTTTTCGGCCGAAGAGGTTGTAGAAAAAAAATGCTTTAATTTTTTTTAAAAAAAAGCCTCTGATGATTGCGCAGCTCAGGTGGGCATGGGGGGGGTGGGGGTGGCAGGGATTTTTGCTACTGGTTCTTCGAACCACCTGCCTCCATCCCTACCGGATCGGGCAATCTGGTCCGACCTGGGAGCATTTCACCCCTGTGCTCAACTCACTCTCAGTGAATTTGGGTGGCTTACAAGGATAAAAACTCAATAAAAACAATTTAAAAAATACACCCAGTAACAACACTCAAATGTGCCATTTGATGGGCTCCATCCCTCTCTGGATTCCTCCCTCTCCAATCACTGCAAGAGGGAGGTCACAACATCATTTAACTCACTGTGAGCTGAGACATATATCTAGGTGTTAACATATTTGATATCTTAGTTCACAGTGGCAGATGATCTCACCGAGCTGCTTAATGTAGCTGTTAAACAGAGATGGAGAAAGTGCTGAGCCCCGCAGCACCCCACAAAACAGGGGACAAAGGACAGGCTTCTTACTTCCTATCAACACCCACTGAGAACAATCATAGAGGAAGGAAGTGAATCAGGACTACCAGAGCTCCCAATTCCCTACTCCCGAAGCCTCTCTAGAAGAATACAGCTAGTCCCTGACTTGTGACCACAACTGATCCTAAAATTTATATTGCTAAGTGGGACATTTGTTAAGTGAATTTTGCCCCATTTTACGACCTTTCTTGCCATAGTTGTTAAGTGAATCATTGCAGTTGTTAAGTTAGTAACATGGTTGTTACGTGAATCTGGCTTCCCCAATGATTTTGCTTGTCAGAAGGATGCAAAAGCTGATCACATGACCCCAGGACACTGCAAGTGTCATAAATAGGAATCCTTTGTCAAGCATCTAAATTTTGATCAAATGACCATGGGGATTCTGGAACAGTCGTGAAAAATGGTCATAAGTCACTTTTTTCAGTGCCATTGTAACTTTGAACAGTCACTAATGTTATTGGAGGCTGCTGAGAGACCAAATTTACTATAGGCTGATCTGGCATTTAAAAGTAGCAGCCTAAAACCTGGGCCCGTCATTGTGAGGTGAGTGCGAGGAGGTGGAATCCACAGGAGCACACACATCCGACTTCCCATTACCCAACACCACTGAAATACACTTCCCTACCCTGTCTTCCCCACCAGCCATCCCATTCAACATTGTTTATTGATCTAAAAACAATAGAGTCTCAACCCCGACAAGACCGAGTGGCTGTGGTTACCGGCACCCCGTTTTGTCCATTATGTTCCATCCCTATCCCTAGGGGGGGAGGTGTTGACCCCCTCAGAGAAGGTACGCAATTTGGGAGTCCTCCTGGACCCACGGCTTAGCTTGGAAGATCATTTGACTGCCGTAGCCAGGGGGACCTTTGTCCAGGTGAACCTGGTTTGCCAATTGCGCCCCTTTCTGGACCGAGATGCCTTACTCACAGTTGCTTATGCCCTCATCACCTCTCGTTTGGACTACTGCAATGCACTTTACATGGGGCTGCCCTTGAGGAGCACTTCAACTGGTGCAGAATGCGGCCGCGCAGGTTGTCATGGGGGTGCCTCGGTACTCCCATATCACACCACTCCTTCGCAGTCTGCACTGGCTCCCGGTTGTCTTCCGAGTGCAATTCAAGGTGCTGGTGATCACCTTTAAAGCCCTATGTGGTCTAGGACCAGAGTACTTGTGAACCACCTCCTGCCACCGGTAGCCTCCCATCGCCCAGTTCGCTCCCACAGAGTTGGCCTCCTCAGGGGACCTTCAGCCAGACAATGTCGACTGGTGACCCCCAGTGGGAGATCCTTCTCTGTGGGAGCCCCTACCCTCTGGAATATGTTACCCCCGGAGCTCTGGATAATCCCCAACCTCCGAACCTTCCACTGGGCCTTGAAGACCTGGCTCTTCCAGTGGGCAGGCCTGGGCTGACCCTAAATTGGTTTTAGCAGTTTTTTTTCAAAATTTAAATTTGTATTCCCACGTTTAATCTTATTTATTGGATATTCTGATTTAATTCGTCTTTTAACTTTTGTATTTTCTGTCTCTTATTGTTGTGAGCCGTCCTGAGTCCTTTGGGAGAAGGGCGGCATACAAATCCAATCAATCAATCAATCAATCAATAGGAAATCCCATCCAAGTAACAAATTTAAGGTAAATTTAATGTTTTATTATGGGGATTGGCAATCGAAGACTTCCAGGTTCCCAAGTGTCCCTCAAGACATCAGTCCAGGTTGAAAGCAAAAGAGGATTCTGAATTTTTTCAAAGTTGGGACAGTTGGTACCGGTGGTTGAATAAAAGGATTGAGATGAAGTGAGGGCCTAAGTCAATATGAGGAGAGATATACTTATCTAGATTGAAAGATAATTGTTTGAAAACCATATTTGGGGATTATTTACTTTATTCTGTGTTGTGGGCACAATTATTTATTAATGAGGGCAGGAATATTATCTGCCAGGATGGATGTGTTTGTGTGTCTAGTGTTATGAATGGGGGAGGGAGGAAGGGGAATGTATGGTTTTTGTTGTTATGTATAATCAATGTTTTTGTCTTATGTTGATTTTAACTTGGAAAATTTAATAAAATTTATTTTTTTTAAAAAAGACATCAGTCCAGAAAACCAGCAAGAATAATTTACTCCTTACATAATTTATTTATTTTATTTATTTGTTTAAATTTCTATACCGCCCTTCTCCAATGTAGGACTCAGGGCGGTGAACAGCCAAAGTAAAAACAAGACATACATACAAAACATACAAAATCTAAAAACTGTTTAAAATAATTAAATAATTTTGGCCGTAATTAAAACATTCCAATTTAAAATCCGTTTAAAATTTGACTCAAGCCAGCCCAGCTAGTTGAAATAAATGGGTTTTTAGGGCCCGACGAAAAATCCGGAGGTCTGTTATTGTACGTAGCTCTGGGGGGAGGTTGTTCCAGAGGGCGGGCGCCGCCACAGAGAAGGCTCTCCCCCTGGGGGTCGCCAGCCGACATTGTCTGGCGGACGGCACCCTGAGGAGGCCCACTCTGTGGGAGCGTACTGGCCGGTGGGAGGCTATTGGTGGCAGAAGGCGGTCTCGTAAGTACCCCGGCCCTAAGCCATGGAGCGCTTTAAAGGTGGTCACCAACACCTTGAAGCGCACCCGGAAGACCACCGGGAGCCAGTGCAGCTCGCGCAGGAGAGGTGTCACGTGGGAGCGCCTCGTCGCCCCCAAAATCCCCCGCGCGGCCGCGTTCTGGACCAGCTGGAGCCTCCGGGTGCACCCCAGGGGGAGCCCCATGTAGAGAGCGTTACAGTAGTCCAGGCGGGAAGTGACGAGTGCCTGAGTGACTGTGCGTAGGGAGTCCCGATCTAGAAAGGGGCGCAACTGGCGTATCAGGCGGACCTGATAAAAAGCCCCCCTGGCCACGGCCGCCAAATGATCTTCTAATGACAGCCGTGCGTCCAGGAGGACGCCCAAGTTACGAGCCCTCTCCGTGGGGGCGAGTGATTCGCCCCCAATAGCCAGCGATGGCGTCAGCTGGCTATATCGGGACGCCGGAAGCCACAGCCACTCGGTCTTGGAGGGGTTGAGTTGGAGCCTGTTTCTCCCCATCCAGGCCCGCACGGCCTCCAGGCACTGGGACATCACTTTAAGGGCATCATTGGGGTGGCCTGGGGTGGAGATGTACAGCTGGGTGTCATCAGCGTACTGATGGAACTCCACCCCGAAGCCACGGATGATCTCACCCAGCGGCTTTACATAAATGTTGAACAGAAGGGGCGAGAGGACCGACCCTTGTGGCACCCCACAAGCAAGGTGCCTCGGGGTCGACCGCTGCCCCCCTGTCAACACAGATTGCAACCGGTCAGAGAGGTAGGAGGAGAACCACCGCAAAACGGTGCCTCCCACCCCCAACCCCGCCAGCCGGCGCAACATGATACCATGGTCGATGGTATCAAAAGCCGCTGAGAGGTCTAACAGGACCAGGATAGAGGAGCAACCCCTATCCCGGGCCCTCCAGAGATCATCCACCAATGCGACCAATGCCGTTAAGAGCTTGCTGGGAAAAAAGGAAGATGAGAGAAGGCATAAAAGATGAACTCAGTTGCCACTGCTCTTGAAGGCCTACAGATGGATCCGTGAAAGCATGTAACGCTACCTGCAAAATATTCCCCATATTTTTCTAAGAAATTACCTGTTCGATGACCAAGTTGAGCCTTGTCAGGAATTCATCCATTTTAGCAAGAGAGATTTCAGAGTGTTTATTCTTTAGGGTTGAAAGAACATGCCTCATTGTAGTCACATTGACCAATGCATTTGATGTTGCAATGAAGTCAATCAGCTGGCGAACATTCAGGAAATGTAAGAGCAGAAACTAGAAAATAAAGATGGTTCCTGGTCACTAGTCAGCTTTTCCTTCCATTTGAAACTAAAAAGGAGGATACTGCCAGCAGAAGGGAAACTCCTTTATTGATTTTTCTCAGATTGTTGAGTTGAGCTTGGGTGCAAGCTCAGTGTCTTCTGTTCACGATAAATGACCAGATTTGTCTCTGAACAAAATTTATTGTAGTGATCTTGAGGACTGTGTGTGCTTCAATAATTTATTTTGAAATTTATTTGTGCAGAGGCCACCCAATTCCATAAGACTACAGGGCAGAGTGCAATCAGAATGAATAAACCCGAACTCAATAACATTTATAGGTCTGAACAACTACCTAACCCAAGGACTGAAGGAACAGGAAGGTTTTAGCAACTTTTTGAACATCACCTGGTGAGAGCTATACAGACTTCTGGGAGGATACACCTCCAGAGGGCAGGTGCCATGACAGCACACTTCCTAGATTCTGAAAGATTTTAATTAAAGGGACCTGGAGCATGCCTATTTATCATTTTATTTCTTTTCTTTTAGTTTATTTTAATACCATTAGATCTGGCAGAGAAGTCATGTTGTGGGTTTTATTGTTTAGGGACCTACATTTGGTAATTCCCAGATGTGACTTCTTATAGAACATTCTTCCTTAGAATTTAGATTAACCCCATCCCTTTTGAATTTCCAAAAGGCCCTCAAGACCTGGTTACATTATGAGGTTTGGGGCTCCCATGTTACTAGAGAGTTGCTGAGATGACTATTTTTGAGTAATCCAAGTTAACCTTTTTGCCATTGCGTGCCGGTGGGGGGAGGGGGTCACACGCACATGTGCCCACAATCATAATTCTATGTGCCCCGCCCCCACACATGCATGCACTCTCCCCTCCCCCACCGTTCCTGGCACGTGATGGCAATGTGGGCCCGGTAGGCCCATTTTTCTCTCTCCCCAGGCTCCAGAGCCTTTCTAGGATGTTGGGGAGGGCAAAAATGCCCTTCCACACCCCACCTGGAGGCCCTCTGGAGGCCGGAAATGGCCCATTTGCCAACTTCCAGTGGGACCGGAAGTCTCATTTTTTTGCTATTCCCCAGGCTCCAGAGTATTTCTAGGAGCCTGGGGAGGGTGAAAAAAGCCTTCCCCACCCCCTTGGAGGCTCTCCAGAGACCGGAAACAGCCCTTTTTGCCGAATTTCCAAAGTCGACAAAAAGGGCTGTTTCTGGTCTCTGGAGGGCCTCTGGGGTTGGGGGGTGGGGAAGGCCTTTTCCCCAACCAGTGAGAGGGAAGGAATTCTGACTGCCGGTGAGGCTGAGCTGACCTTTTACGGAAGTGATAGCAAAAGGGAGGATGACCCAATGGTAAGTGGAGCTGTCGCTCCTTTTACTGCCCGGGTGTAGATTGTAGTGCCCCACTTGTGGGTGAGAGGAGTCATAATGGCCCTAATAGACTCGGAATGCAACCAATGCTTGGTCAGCCTGCAATCAGTGAGGAGTTTAGGATTAAGAGTGAGGAAACTACACCAGCCCATGAAGTTCGAGCAGGTCAGTGGTTCAATTATAGGACGACTGCTAATTCCTATCTGACTGAGCTAGTAAGTATGAGAATGGGGAGTCATAAAGAGACTATCCGATTCATGGTGGCCCCCAAAATGGTGGAAGTCATGATATTGAGGTTGGCATGGTTGAAGAAGTGGAGTCCAACAATATACCGGGGAAGGGATAGAGTGCCCAGAGAACCCAAAACCTACGGGGAAGAAGCATAGCAAACCCCAGCCACAATCAGGGAGGATGGAAGGCCTGAGAATGGCTACCAAGATGTGCCCCATTTTGGGGATAGCAGTGCCCCATTTTGGGGATTGCAGTGCCCCACTATCCCCAAGGAATACAGAGACTTTACTGAAGTGTTCAGCGAGAAGGAATCCAATGGTCTGACCTCCCATTGTCCTATGGACTGTGCAATTGAGATTTTGGTGGGGGTGAAGCTCCCTAAGCCTAAAATGTATACACTGACCCCCAAGGAAATGTGGGAACCAAGAGACTTTGTCGACAAATATCAAGCCAGGGGCTTCATCCAGCCAGCGAAGTTCCAAATGGCAGCCCCTATGCTATTTAAAGAGAAATAGATAGGTCATTGAGGCTGTGCATGTATTTTCGCAGAATCAATGGAATTTACATAGAAAACATGTACCTCCTCCCTCTCATGAAAGACATGCTGGGATACTTATCCAAAGGAAAGGTGTTTACTAAGCTGGACTAAGTTTGACAAGACAAGACAAGACAAGACAAGACAAGACAAGACAGGACAGACCAAGACCAAGACCAAGACCAAGACCAAGACCAAGACCAAGACCCAGACAAGACAAGACAAAATTTCTTAAGGCAATTGCAAAAACATCTGCAAAAATTTGGCAAAAATCACTTTGAAAATACACACATACCTTCTGCCCCCACAATCGCTATGATCGGAATTAGCTGCTAAGCAACAAATTAACAATTAATAAGTGGAACAACTTGCCTGCAGAAATTGTGAATGCTCCAACACTGGAAATTTTTAAGATGTTGGATAACCCTTTGTCTGAAGTGGTGTAGGGTTTCCTGCCCGGGCAGGGGGTTGACTAGAAGACCTCCAAGGTCCCTTCCAACTCTGTTATACTAAATCATACTCACAGGTTCAAACTTCTCATGAGTGGATTTCACTTCTTCCAAGGTGGCATCATGGAAGAACAAGCCCCATGCCTGATGGATCCATTCATCACTGGGCTCCATGAGATATGCTGAATAAAGAACAAAAGAACTCATGGAATACAGAGTTTATCAAATGCAAACACTACCGGTATACCTTACCTTGCCGTCCTCCACACTGAGGAGACCTTGACCCTCCCCTTTAACCAATGCAAAGCATGTCCATTCCTATCTATTTACAACTGCCAATCATTGTCATCCCCTCCAAATGGAAATTGTTTAAGGGGGGGGAGAGCTGAGAAGTCTCTCTCAGAAATCATGTGCAATCAAGTTAGTGTTGACTCTTAGCAGCCACATAAATAGATCTTCTTCAGAATGATCTATCCCCAAATTGGCCCTTTACGCTTCAGAACAATGCACTCATTGTTAGAATATTCATGACTGGGAAGACATGGTAACAAGGTCAGCCAATGAATAGGCAACTGGGAGCTGAGACAGACTGGAGCCAGGGTGTGTCTTAGTCTGCAGCATCTAATTCTGTGCAGAGAAGAGAAACTGAAACCAATGTGTGTGAACTTGTCTGCTGATCTGATCTGAAATGAAATTGTGAATCTGCTGTTGGTATTGTAAATTTACTTCATGTATTATTGTGTATATAAAGAAGTTAATGAATCCTGCTGCATCAGTTTATCTGTGTGTGCTCCTGGATTTGTTTTTTGCAACAAACTCTGACACTCATCACCACTGTAATCCCTCACTAAAAATGGTTTGACTTAAGCTCATAGAAACAGCTCTCTGGGGCAGCAGAATGGTTATGCATTGCAAATCAGAAGCAATTCCCTTTTTCCTGGACAGCACAGGAAATTTATCTAGCCATCTCTTTGCTCTCTCATGTGTTCATGGGACATGAAGCACAGATGACACATCTCAGTGACCATCTCACAAGTGGCTGTCATTAGGGAATGAGTGATGGAAATAAGTCCAATGGAGACATCTTAAATCTGCCAAAGACAGAATGAGTCTGATGTCCGATTACCTTTAAATTCCTTGAGATAGTGAACAATCCAGAGCACCACAGCTCTCTTTGAGATTTCTGACATTTGGTCATGTGCATCGCTAAATCTTGACACACTGAAATGATATAAGTAACAACAGAAAATGGCTCAATGGTTCACAATCACTGAGATTTCTCTATGCAAGAGCTCCCAGAGGATATCACCACAGGTTGCATGGCTCTTCCCAACTTTATTTTCTGTCCTGGCAGAACCATCATGGTGCAGAACCATTAGATATTTAAACCTATTTATGGATTAACCCCAAGACAGCAACCACCAACCAAAGAGATGGAAGGAAAAGAAGAAGTGCATCCCAAAATGGATGTTAGGCAAACTCAGTAGAGACTGAATCTGAAAATGGAAGAACTGTTAAGGGTCCTATCCCCTCCAGTAGTACTGGGAAGAGGGGCAGAAATTAGGCCTTAATGGCATTAGCCTTCCACTTTCCTCTTCCCCTTAAATAAAACATAGGAAAGGCAGTTTTGTGCAGCAATTGAGGCACCATCATGAGTTCTAATCCCACCTTTGACATGAAGCCAGCTGGGTAACCAGGGGGAGTCGCTCTCTCTCAACCCTATGTCTTTGTTTATTATGTTACTATTTTACTATATTATACATGATGATATGTGCTATTTTTTGCACTGTTATATGCCATCTCTGGTCTAATGATCTAAATGGTCCTTGCATATTTTCTAAGACCAACCTGGTACTGCAATAGCCAGCTGGTCTTAGAAAATATGCAAGGAGTCCACTGCTTCATTTGCAAGTGAGCTCCCTTGATCAGAAAAAAAGGCAAGATAAGTCAGTGAGTGATAATGGGTGTCTGAGGACTAAGAAAAATGGTAGAGAGCAACCTCACTAATTTGTTCTGTGATTGCCCAGACTTGCCCAGATTTTGGCCATTTTGTAAATGGACTTCTTTAAGGGACTGCCATGGCTCTTTAAACTTGCACAACATACTTAAAAAATATGAAAGGTGCCTACTAACACAGAAAGGCTAGACACGCCTGCTATAAGGGCAAATGTATGAAATACGTACATAACCACGAAGGATGCATAGTCTCGGGGAATGATGTAAGTAAGTGTTGTGGTATTGAATGCATAAGCAAGGAAGTGCAGATCTTGCTGGAATGTGATGTTCCAATCAATTGCAGTGTACATCTCCAAATGAGAAGATGCCAGTTCCAGGAAATGTGTCAAAAGCAACTGGGTCACCTCCAGGTTTGGAAGGACAACAAACTTGTGCTGCACAGGGATTACAAGAAAGTTCGAGAAGTCACTCGGTGCTGAAAAGATTCGCTATCACTGACCTATACCATTTTAGATAAGTGACTCTCTAGACCAGGGGTGTCAAACTCAAGGCCTGGGGGCTGGATCTGACCCATGGGGTGCTTAGATCTAGCCCATGGGGCTGCCCTGAAAACAGCAAAGGACTGGCCCGCAGTGCCTCTGCCAGTCAAAATGGAGCTCGCGAGGGCTGCATGTGGCCCTCCCAGGCTCCGATTATACTGGCAGAGGGTTGCAGGAAGCCGTCGTAGCCGAAAATGGAGGTTGGGAGCCCGTTTTTTCTGGCACAGCACTCGGGCCACCACAGGTTCCTCCGACATGAATGATGTCGAGTTGACGATAGCCACCCTGGCTCCCTAAAGTCAAACACAACCCTGATGTGGCCTCAATGAAATTGAGTTTGACACCCCTGGTCTAGACCATTAAAAATATCCAGTGATGGAGCGTCCACAATTTCCGAAGGCCAAGCTGTTCCACTGGTTAATTGTCCTCACTGTTAGGAAGTTTCTCCTTAATTCCAGGTTGCTTCTCTTTGATTAGTTTCCATCCATTGTTTCTTGTCCTGCCCTCTGGTGCTTTGGAGAATAATCTGACTCCCTCTTCTTTTGGCAGCCCCTTAAATACCGGAATACTGCTATCATGTCACCGCTAATATTTCTTTTCTTTAGACTAGCCAAACCCAAATCCTGCAGCCATTCTTCATATGTTTTAGTCTCCAGGCCTTTGATCCTGTACTAGCTTTTTTGGCTGCTGCTGCACACTGCTGGCTCATATTCAAGTGATCATCCCCTAGTATCATAAGTATCCCCATACTTAAGTATCATCCCCATACTTATACCTTTGATTTTTCCTGCCTAAATGTAAAACTTTGCTTTTCTCCACATTGAAATTCATTTTATTGGATAGGGCCCATTGTTCAAGTTTGTCAATATCTTTTTGGATCCTAAACTTGTCTTCAGGGGTGTTGGCTATTCCTGCCAGTTTAGTGTCAACTGCAAATTTGATGAGTTCCCCTTCTCATCATGAAAGTTCTCCTCATTTAAGTCATGTATGAAGATATTGAAGAGTACTGGACCTAAGACGGAGCCTTGTGGTACCCCACTGCTTACTTCCCTCCATATAGATGTTAGTCCATTAAGGACTATTTGTTGAGTACAGTTTGTCAGCCAGCTACAAATCCATCTGTGATGTTATCTATTCCACATTTTTCTATTTTACCAAGAAGTAGATTGTGATCTACTTTGTCAAATGCCTTGCTGAAATCTAAGTATACTACGTCCACAGCATTTTGCTGGTCTTCTGATTTAGTGACTTTATCAAAGAATGAATTAAGATTGGTTTGGCATAATCTGTTTTTAACAGACCTGTGATGGCTATTAGTTATAACTTTATTTGCTTCCCAGGTATTGATGTTAGACTGATTGGTTTCCTGGGTTTGTTTTTTTCCCCTTTCTTGAAGATGGGAACCATATCAGTCCTTTTCCAATCTTCAGGTACTTTTCCGGTGCTCCAGGATTTTTGGAAGATATGGTACAATGGTTCTGAGATAACGTCTGCCACAGTGGTGGTATTCAGTCGCTTCTATCCAATTTGGGCAACCCAGTTGCGGTGGCTGCAGGTGGCTCTGCCCACCCACCCGGACATAATCACATCCCATCTATCCACGTTTTTGACTCTCTGCGCCATGCACGGAAGGCCCTGCGCTCACATTTGCGAAGCGGTATCGAAGGTAAGTGAATACCACCCCTGATCTGCCAGCTCCTTCGGAATTCTAGGATGTAATCTATCAGGTCTCCTTAATTTATATTCATCAAGATCAGATAGGTGTTCTCTTACCATTTTCTTGATAATTTTAATTTTTATTTCTAGTTTGTCTTTTACAATTGGTGGTTGGTGGGGGGGTTTTTTGGTACATTGGGCTATAATTTCTTTTTGCGTAAAGACTGATTAGTTTCTTTTTTTATGTAAAAATTGGTGAAAAGGTCTCTTCGTAGTTTAAAAATGTTTTAAAACACAGAAATGCTATTTGAAGAGAGGCTCCTTGACTCATCTTTGGCACTTTCTAGTATGATCACACAATAAATAATGTGGCAACTGTTTTTTAAAAAAGTGAAATTTCCATCTGCTCCCATGTAACTCAATGAACATTTCAATTTTTTGAAAAAAAGAAAAGAAAAAAATGCCAGACCACAAAACTGTTCCACTGAAGAGAGGAGAATAAAGCAGATTTTTAAGAATATATAGATTTCTACTGTGTTTCCCCGAAAATAAGATCCTGTCTTATATTTTTTTGAAACCCGAAATAAGCGCTTGGCCTTATTGCCATGCACTCAAAAGCCCAATTGGGGAACTTCCGGTTGGCACCGCGGGGATCCAGATGGGGAAATAGCGGGCGAAAACCCCATCTGTCAAGCCCCCGCCAGCAGGTCTTCGGACCTCCCCTGTCCTGTAGGGACAGGGGGCATGGAAAGGGACTCCTCGGTCGGCCGAGAGGAACAGGCAGGTACCTCAGGGCCGGAGGCTTGCCCTCTGCGCTGGTGGCGGCAAAGCGGCAGCCATGGCGGCTCCCCTGAAACCGCAGCAACCGGGACACAAGAATCACAGGAGGAGAGGAGGAGAAATGGAGAACAGAGTCGGGAGTTTGTTTGCCGGGTGAGTGACCATCAGCCGAGGCGGGAACTGCCCATGGACTCTGGATTAAGATGAGTCTTTGCCCCAGCCTTAACAGCGGCTGTGAACTATTGGGGCATAAAGGCAAAAGACCTGTTGGAGAACAACGTGAAATAATGATTTTTTGGAAATGGCTGCATTACAGTGTTGGATATTTTTTTTTTTCTTTTTGTATGGAAAAATGAGATTGGACTATGTTAGAGAGAGAGGAAGGAGAAGAGGAAATAACTATGCTCTTAAAAATAAAGAAAAAAAGAAGAAGACAAACGGAGTGAAAGTGAAAGTATGAATTTCAGACTGATTGCTTGTTACTGATTTACAGACTGCCTACTTGCTACATAAAGGGAGAAACTTTGCTACTTGTTTCTTTAAACTTGACTAATTTGGTGGGGGGGGGAGAGAAAGACTCAGATTAAGAGAGCCTGATTCTGGATAGACAAATTTGATTATTGGAGGATTTATTGAAGATCAGAAGGAAGAGATTAAATGGAACAATGGAAACTGAATTAAAAGACGTGGCAATAAGAGAAGGGTGTGGCAGCATAAGAAGGACATGATGATACCATATATGGAATAGCCCAGAACTAACTTTTAAAAAAAAAAAGTTGGAACTTTGATGGCATTAAAATGGAGAAGAAATATATTTGGACAGATTGGAGAAAGGAATATTGGAACATACTATGTAACAAGACAACAAATTATTATATTTTGGTTTAAATAGATATAATAGTTTTTGGGTGAATGAACAGAGTTAAGAGACATTTCTTTTTTTTTTCTTATTATACCATCTCTCTCTATTTCCCTTTTCTATCTTTTTATTTGTTTTTGTTTTTCCTCTTTAAACTTTTTTTTAATCTACTTGATTTTTTTTCTTTCTTTTTTCCTTTGTTTTGATATATTTCTATTCTCTTCCCTTTTCTTTTTTTTACTATTATTATTGCTGTATTATGATTATTGTCACTATTTTAAGGTAATTACATTATTACTGTCACTATTTCCCATTTTCTATAATTATTATTACTTTTATATAAACATATAAATAACTTGATTAAGAAATGTTTGAAGGAAGAAGCATGAGTTTTGGATGTTCTAATGCCTTTTTGAATTTTAAATCTTTAACAAGTAATATTTATAGATTTAATAATCTGGAAGAAAATGTTTTTTTCCTTTAAGGTGTTGGATGTTAAAAGAATTATTCATAGATTTAATAAGCATAGAAAATGAATTTAAAATGGTTTTAAAATGATGTTTGTATTGAAATATGAAATAAGCAAGTAATGGGAGAAAATTTAGGAGAAAATAAGAAATAAAATATTTGTTGAAATGGTTTTTTTTTTAAATTAGCAAAAGATACAGAGGAGAATAGATTGAAAATACCATTGGTGATACACTTTGAAGTAATTTGAAGCTAAATAATTGAATAAGAGATCTTGGAGTGGAGGAAAATATAAAGCAAGATTCTGGTGATCAGTGAAAGAAAAGCTGAGACCCAGTCTTACAAATAGGGTAGGAGTGGAGGAAAGCATCATACTGGAGAACAGTTAATGCAAACTGGGAACCAGTTAAAAATAAAAATAGGAGTTAGGAGCAGAGGAAATATGCACTGGAAAGCAGTTAAAGCAAAGCTGTGAACCAGCCAAAATACAGTTAGGAGTGGAGGAAAGCATACGCTAGCTAACAGTTAAAGCAAAACTGTAAACTAGCAAAAAATAAAAAGGTAGGCGTGGAGGAGACTATACCTGGGGATCAATTGAAATAAAGTTGTGAGCCAGTTAAAAATAGGGGTAGGAGTGGAGGAAAGCATTGCTGGAAGGCAACCATCTGAGTTGTGAACCAGTTTTACATTACATTTAGGAGGAGTAAAGGAGAAGGTTGGTATGCAGTTAAAATTATACTGTGAACCAACCAAAATAATTAAGGTAAGGAGGGGAGGAAGTATTGCTGGAAAGCAGCTGATTAAGATGCGAACCAGCTCAAAAATAAACCTAGGAGGAAGTGGAAGAGACATTATTGGAGAATAGTAATTGAACTGTGAACCAGTTAAATAAATGGATAAAGGAATATTGGAAATTATAACTGGGAAATAGATATTTAAACCATGAATCAGTTAAACAGCTGGTCTAATAGAATTTAAGAATAAATTTGAAGTATTAAGGTAAAATATTTTGGAAGTAATAAAATATAGAAAGAAATGTTGATTTATTTCAAATGATTTTAAGAGAGGAGGAAAATATTTTTTGTTAAGAATTGGATATCTGTTGTCATTTAAGAGAGATAAAATATAGTTTTGAGGCAATGGGTTTTAGGATTGAGGAATATATATGAAATATTAATTGTTAAAATGATAAAGATTTAGAACGGTGTTTATTGTTTAGACTTTTGGGTGTTATAGTAGAATGATAAATGATAAAATCTTTTTTATTATTAGTATTCTTTTTTTTTCTTCTTAAAGATTTTAAAATTTGGAACAAAATTGATTGAGGGAATGTGAATAATTGTACTTATTTTAAGCCGGACCAAACCCCTGCTCTAAAAAGATGTATTTTATGTTTTATGCTAAAAAAATAAAAAAAGAATTGAAAAAAAAAAAGCCCAATTGGGCTTATTATCAGGAGATGTCTTATTTTGGGGAAAACGGTATTATAGATTTTAACTAATTTGTTTGAAGAAACCAGGTTACTAATGGAATTCTCAAGGCAAATAGTGCTGAAATTTTGAAACAACCACCTTTATGTTTTCCTCATAAAAATGGACTGGGAGTAGGGGTGGAGAGGTAGGGAGACATACCTTAATAGCAGCTTGGGTGAATTCTTTGAGAATCATCTGGACATCGCTGAAGCTGCTATCTTGGAAGAAGACCACAAGGTGTTTTGCCAAAGAGATGCTGGTCAAAGTGTCAGAATGGATTATCATATCCCCAATTTGTTTCGGAGTTAATAGATCCAAAACTGTGTACTGTTGGGAAAAATAAATAAATATCTATATATCTGAGATGATGATGATGATAGACAGACAGACAGACAGACAGACACGAAAGAGAGACTTGTAAGACAGTTGTGAAATTCAAATTTTTTTACCACCGGTTCTGTGGGCGTGGCTTGGTGGGTGTGGTGTGGCTTGGTGGGCATGGCTTGGTGGGCATGGCAGGGGAAGGATACTGCAAAATCTCCATTCCCACCCCACTCCAGGGGAAGGATACTGAAAAATCCCCATTCCCTCCCCATTCCTGGGGGAAGGATATTGCAAAATCTCCATTCCCACCCCACTCTGGGGCCACCCAGAGGTGGTATTTGCCATTTCTCCGAACTACTCAAAATTTCCGCTACCGGTTCTACAGAACCTGTCAGAACCTGCTGAATTTCACCCCTGCTGTAAGCAAATATCAATACAATCACCCACTCTTTCAAATATTAATCAATATGGAAGCAAATGAATAAGTCACACTACTACTCAGACTAGTAGGCTGGCTATGATAGTGGATATTGCCAATAACAAGTCATCTTCTCCAAGCAGTTCACAGATAATTCCCAAATTCCCAGCCAGCTGGCCAGAAACTGTCAGATTAGAGGAACACTGTGCTCATTTTAATTGTGTAATTCCCTTCGTCACTCTTCCTTCTCGCTTAGCATGGAAAGGTAATAGCTTGCTGAAGATAATGGAAAAAAGTAGGCTGGGGCTTTTTTTTCCCTCAGCCAGTCAGTCAATCAATCAAGAAATCTATTATCTTCAGCAAGTGATAAACTGATACACTGTACAGTATACTTTTTTAAGTAAAAGTGCTGATTTTTCCATTTCTAGTCTTTAATATCCAAGCACCCTTCTGAACGAACCAATCTCACATCTCACACATTTTCTTTCCTTCAATTCTTCACCAAGAGACATACAATCTTGCCCTAGTAATAGTGAACATAGTTTTCCTTTTACATCTAGAGAAATGGGGCATTAGGTCAACACCACTAAGCCAAGGAGTTCTTCTGTGGGATGTCTCTTATATGCCCAGAAACCAAAAGATGTGGCAGGCTCAACTCCAAACCATAAAAGACTTACTACATCAAAGGTCTGGCGGTAGTAGGAAACCAACTGAATGTATGGCACAGTCGCAGAGAATCTCCTAAAGAATGTGAGGAGCCACTTTCTGGTTGTGGTTTGTTCAGAGCAGATGGGACCTACAAAAGCATGCAAAAATAAAAGTTGTGAGCCAACTTCTTTACTGAGGACTGTGGTTCTCCTCCCTAATGAAATTCTACTTTAGTGCAAATTAATTATTATTATTGCATCTTCAGACATAATTGATTACCTATATATATATATTGTTTTCTTCCTTTTCAATAGTAATGCCTGTGTGCCTTGCTTCCTGCTCAATCTTAAGACTTCTTTCTCCTGTGCCTGACAGCCTGATCCTAACCCCTTCTCCCCCCCTTGAAGAGAGGAAAGTTTGCTTAAACAAGCTCTCTTTTCCTACAGTGCTTTTCTTTTCAGTTGAGGTGGCGGTGGCAGCACTTCCCAAAAACTGGCTAACCTCAGTTAGCTCAGCTCTGTGAGCTTAATTAGTCAATTAACCCCTTCCGCTTCTGAAATTGGCAAGACCCTAATTAGTTTCACCCTAAAGCAGTGGTGAAATCCAATTTTTTTTACTACCGGTTCTGTGGGTGTGGCTTGGTGGGCATGGTGTGGCTTGGTGGGTACAGCTTGGTGGGCGTGGCAGGGGAAGGATACTGCAAAATCCCCATCCCCTCCCCACTCCTGGGCGAAGGATATTGCAAAATCTCCATTCCCACCCTTCTCTGGGGCCAGCCAGAGGTGGTATTTGCTGGTTCTCCAAACTACTCAAAATTTCCGCTACCAGTTCTCCAGAACCTGTCAGAACCTGCTGGATTCCACCCCTGCCCTAAAGGCTTTCTTCTGTCTCCTAAGCATCTGGGAGCATGCTAAGCAAACAGCCAGTATATTCCCTGTTGTGCACCTACAATGCTTGCTCTCTTGTAATCTGTTTCTGATCAAAGAGTGTAAATATAAGCATTAATTGCCCCCTTGCTAGTATAATAGAACCACATGAGGATTTCAAAGGGTGGGAAGTGGGGAAAAGGGGCTATAAGACTGCCTCCCTTTTCCCAGCTTCCTCCTGAATTGATTTCTGGGATCCTCCTCCGCCATTTCAGCTCATCCAGCTGTTTGGGGTTGTATCTTTCAGATGCTGTTAATATGCTCAAGGGTGATTTTTAATAAACTCTTTTTAAGAACATCCTGGCACTTCTCTTAGTGTTGTCATTCTTTGGAAATCATCCTTCAAATTCTAAATGAAGTGTCAATATAAGATTAATGGCAACATTTCCCCTAAGCCAAGGTTTGGAAATACAATCAATGCCGGAAGATTTCAGAATTTCTACTGGGCCCACCGATATGCTTTGCCTTCACATAAAATGCAATAAAATATGTCTAAATCTCACAGGTTTATGAACTTTAATGGGATTTTGATGAGCTACCCAACCATACAGACAGTAACCTTTTTTTAATCATTGTTCTAATTCTTTTAGGTCTCACTATATTTAAGTTAGTTACCAGTTGTTTGAGACTTTTGGGTGAAGAAAGACACTATGTAGTTTATAATATCTGTTTTCCCTTTTTGTGAAATTTCAGAAAAGCCGCGGTCAATTCCAGCAATCCTGGAAGACAAAAAAAATGTAGTTATATTCAGTCAACACATACAGGAGTTGAATCCTATACTAGTCCAGTGGGAGCCCAACTCCCAGAATTCCCCTCAAGGAGTTGTTCACACATCTTCAAGTCTTCATAGTTAAGAAACACTGCTATAGGCCATTGAATCCAGAAGTTAAGCTAAAGTACAGGATAGTTATTCTTATTTTCTTCTTATCCTTTTTGGATATAAAGATAAGGCTACAGCCCTGCCCCACCCCACCCCACCCCACCCCCCAAACACCTAGCAAACCAGTGAAGACTCACACAGATTCGAAGGCCTTGCAGGAAATACTGATGGGGATTTGTTGAAGAATAGCAGCAGTTACACTTGGCAGCACCATCACAAGCCTCTTCTCAAACCAAAGTTGATAGTCAAGATCCGTGAAAGTTGGAAATTCCTTATGCAACCTTTTGATTGTCTTGGTAAGCAAGAACGTTTTCACTTCCATTGAAATGTTGAGAATGCTGACAAAAGTGGGCTAAAAGAGGGATGAAAGGCCATCATGATTTTGAACGAGATGGCTGGTAAGAAAGAAATAATAAAAACCATCTGTTTTTGCTTTTTAAATGGGTTTCTTGTTTGAATAAGGGGGAAAGCTTTTCCTTATCAACTCATCAACTCTTAAAATATCTCAGAAATTTGACTCAAGGAGTATCTTCTTCTCAAATCAAATGAATGGATGAATCAAATCACAGGATAAGAAATTATTATCATGGAACATCACAAAATGCCACACCATCTCTTATGTTTTGCATGCTCTTCAGCATGCTTTGTTAATGTTTAGTTGCATTTTTTGTCTTTTTATAGTAATGACTGGAAGATGAACATCAGATCCAGAGTAATAGTATTTTTTTAAAAAAAACTGGAAAGCTAAAGATAGGAAATGGGGTGGTGTAAGTCAGCATGAAAATTGTAAAAAAAAAACAAAAAAAAAAACAAAAAAAAACCGAGAAAGCAATCAGAGAATTGTTGCTTCTGGAATCTGGTCATTTCAATTAGAAAATGTTTAGCCAGAAACTTGTATAACAGAATAACAGAGTTGGAAATGACCCTGGAGGTCTTCTACTCCAACCCTCTGCTCAAGCAGGAAACCCTACACTATTTCAGATTGGTTGTCCAATCTCTTCTTAAAAACCTCCAGTGATGGAGCACCCATAATTTCTGAAGGCAAATCGTTCCACTGATTAATTGTTCTAACTGTCAGGAAATTTCTCTTACTTCTAGGTTGGGTCTCTCCTTGATTAGCTTCCATAGATTGTTTCTCGTCTTGACTTCTGGTGCTTTGGAGAATAGATTGCCCACCCTCTTCTTTGAGACACCCCTTAGATATTGGAATACTGCTATCATATCACCCCTAGTCCTTCTTTTCATTAAACTAGAAATCCCCAAACTGTTCTTTGTATGTTTTATCTTCCAGCCCCCTAATTATCTGTGTTGCTCTTCTCTGCACTCTTTCTAGAATCTCAACATCTTTTTTAATTTGTGGCAACCAAAACTAGACGCAATATTCCAAGTGTGGTCTTACCAAGACATTATAAACTGATATTGATATTTCACATTATCTTGATTCTATCCCTCTATTAATGCAGCCTAGAATTGCATTGGCTTTTTTGGCAGCTGAAGCACACGGCTGGCTCATATTTAATTGATTGTCCCACTTGTAGTGGATTTGTAACTTCTATTACGTGTGTTTAAAGAAAATCTAATATTTTGCTCTTGAATTTATTTCTATGTACAGGATAAGAGCATTTTATGCAGCCTAGAGACTCCTTACAGCAGAGTTGCAGAGCTGCCTCCAAACCGGGGAAGATAAGCATCATGTTGTGGTCTGCCCAGTCTCCCTCATCCCCAGTTTTATCTTTATATTTTTCTATAGGAGGTCCGTTTAAGTCATGATTTCTGATTTATACACCTGTATATTTTGATATCCTTTGACACTGAATATTCTGCACCCAAAGCTGCAAAGGGATTTTTCCATTTTCTTTTTTCAAATAAAAGTTTGAAATTTCTCTATTTTCATTTCTCTCTTGTGAAAAGGGAAGGGGGAAGAAGGGTTGATTCCCCTAGCCATGAGCTAAGATTTACAGGACCAGCAGGTGGTGTTTCATTTGTAATAGCAGCATGTGAAAGGGGAAAGTGCCAACTAAGATATTGTATTTTAGCAATAATTACCAAGCTACCATGGTAGGAAGTAGAAGTGGGGTATATAGGTCTAGAGGACTTCTTAGAGAGAAGGTTTGAGCCCTTCAGTGATTTGAGAGATAGAGCCAGTTTGGTGTAGTCATTAAGGAATCAGGCTAGAAACTGAGAAGTCATTAGTTCTAGTCCCGACTTAAGACACAAAGCTGGTTAGGTGACCTTTGGCCAGTCACATTTCCAGCCCTAGGAAACAAGCAATGGCAAACCTCTTCTAAAAATCTTGCCAAGACAACTGCAGACTTGTCCAGCAGGTGAGGAATCAGCACTGACTTGAAGGCACACAAACACAACAGGCTTCTTGGGCAGGAGATTAGAGACCTTCAATCTTTCAGTCTACATCTTCAATCCTGCTACTACAGAGGGGTTTCCCTACCCCTTTGATATTCAAGATTTCTGACCAACAGTTTTTCCTCTCACACATTCCAAAATTCTGAGATCAAATGTAATTCTTTTTGTTTTAACACTGAGATTGTTCTGAAGATTTTGAAGGCCTCCAGCATTATGTTCTAGTGGATGGCCATTGCTTATTCATTCCATTCCCCACCCTATGATTAGCTCTCTGTCTGAGTACTAAGGTAATTGCAAATTCTCAATCATAGAATACTACCATTTTCAGAGCTCATTGTGAAATAGTTCAGACAAGTAAATTGGACAGAGTAGTCTCCTGAAAGTGCAATACACATGAAGTGATTTATGCTACACAGGTCTGCTACACAGGTCCTATTTGGTACTTTGGGAAAGTGTATTGAAAACTAGACAACCAATGCTTTTATTATTTACCGCTACCATTGTTCAAGTTATACAGTGCCACATACTGTATTTGCTGTTACATACTTGAAAAATCCAGAACCACACTGCTTCTCAGACCAACAAGCTGTTAATGTAGATACCTACTATAATTAAACTACTGAAGAAGCTGTTAATTCAAATAATAGTTTAAGATGGGCTTTTTTCCAAAATGTGGAAGATCTTACCTGGACCAAAGACCTGGGCCCTCTGTGTCTCGACTTCCGAGACTTTGTGTGTCTTCGATTAGCCTGATAAAAGTTATTATTATACTTATTGAAAAGGATTGGAAAGATGAAAATGGACAAGGATATTGTCTAGTTGGGGTACAGAACATCAGAAGAGGTTAAAATCTTGGAAACAAACTTGTTTCCCTCTTTGCATGCCCACCCACAGCTTTCCACATAAGGAGTGGAAAAAAGCTTTGTAGGTCTGAATTGTTTCACTTTGAATATTTGTGATTTGCATCTTTCATTCACAAGGAAATCTATTTCTGAGTACTAGAATTTGGGGAGATCTGTTGTCAAGAGTGAAAAAATGTCTGCTCTGAGGAATTGGGCACTTCATGGCCACATCTGATGATGTTTAGGAAAAGAGAAAAATAGATGAATTATGACCATGAAGGCAATTTGTCCAAATTACTGCTAGCTAATGCAGATCTTCATATCCAAATAACTTGTAGTTTTAGAAGCTAGGCTGTAGGAGCGATGAGTTCCTCCACTTGTTTGTTGGACCCGTGCCCCTCCTGGCTGGTTTTGGCCAGCAGGGAGGTGACACGAGGTTGGCTCCAGGCTTTAGTTAACACGTCCTTGAGGGAAGGGTCCTTCCCACAACCATTAAAGGAAGCAGTTGTAAGGCTGCTCCTTGAGAAGCCTTCCCTGGATCCAGCAAAATTAAAGAACTTTTGTCCAGTCTCCAACCTACCCTTTGTGGGAAAGGTTGTAGAGAAAGTGGTGGCACTTCAGCTCCTGCGGTCATTGGAGGAAACGGATTATCTAGACTCTTTTCAGTCTGGCTTCAGGCCTGGCTACAGCATGGAAACTGCCTTGGTCACACTGATGGATGATCTCTGGCGAGCCCGAGATGGGGGTCATTCCTCCATCTTGGTGCTACTTGACCTCTCAGCAGCTTTCAATACCATTGACCATGGTATCCTTCTGGGACAACTAAGGGAGTTGGGAGTGAGAGGCACCGTGTTACGGTGGTTCTCCTCCTATCTCTCTGGTCGGTCACAGTCAGTGTTGGTAGGAGGACAGAGGTCAACCCTTAGGCTCCTCGTTTTCGGGTGCCTCAGAGCTTGGTCCTCTCTCCCCTCCTATTTAACATCTACATGAAGCCGCTGGGTGAGATCATCCGACGATACGGGGTGAGGTATCAGCAATACACTGATGATACCCAGCTGTATATCTCTCCCCCGCATCAATTCAGTGAGGCAGTGGATGTGATGTGCCGGTGCCTGGAGGCCGTGAGGGTCTGGATGGGAGTCAACAGGCTCAGACTTAATCCAGACAAGACCGAGTGGCTGTGGGTATTGCCTCCTAAAGACCATGCTGATTGTCCATCCTTGGTTCGGGGGGGGGGAGAAATTGCCCCTCTCAGAACAGGCTCACAATTTGGGTGTCCTCCTAGACTCACAGCTAAGATTAGAGCAACATCTGACAGCTGTGGCTAGGGGGACTTTTGCACAGGTTCGCCTGGTGCACCAATTGCGACCCTACTTGGATCAGGAGGCTCTCCTCACAGTCACTCATGCCCTTGTCACCTCACCGTTAGATTATTGCAACACGCTCTACATGGGGCTACCCTTGAAAATTGTTCGGAGACTACAGTTGGTCCAGAACGCAGCCACGAGGGCTGTCGTGGGTGCACCTAGGTACACTCACATTACACCAATTCTCCACGAGCTGCACTGGCTCCCTATTGGTCTCCGGTCACAATTCAAGGTGTTGGTTATTACCTTTAAAGCCCTACATGGCTCAGGGCCAGGGTATCTTCGAGACCTCCTTCTACCGCATAGCTCTCAGCGACCGGTAAGATCCCACAGAGTTGGTCTCCTCAGGGTCCCGTCAGCTAAACAATGCCGGCTGGCGGGCCCATGGGGGAGGGCCTTCTCTGTGGCTGCCCCAGCTCTCTGGAACCAGTTACCTCCTGAGGTCCGGACCATCCCCACCCTATTGGCCTTCCGAAAAGCGGTGAAGACCTGGCTCTCTTGGCAGGCCTGGGGCTGTTGATCTCGCTCTTGCGATTTGGTGAGATCCGGCCATGAATGGTGTGAATGAGTTTTAATGTTTTTAATGGTTTAACTTTTAATGTTTTATATATGGTTTTTAAATGCATTGTAAGCCGCCTTGAGTCTTCGGAGAAAGGCGGCATACAAGTTGAACAAACAAACAAACAAACAAATAAATAAATAAATAAATAGGCATCAAAAGAATTTGACCATGAACTTTCTTATAGCTCCTGTGTAAGAAAATAGGAAAACAGCCTGACCAATATTGACCAATATGGATGGGGTTTTTTTTCTTCAATCTGGGGAACTGCAAATGACTGTTTGTGGTTTGTGCGGTTGTTCTCAAGTTTTTGAGAATTACTAAAGCCAACATTATTTAAAGAAGATTCATGATTATTAAATTTCCACGAAATCAATTCTGTAATATCCTGAGTCTCAATGGGTACACATTGAAGCATGGATAGGATTGTGGCAATACCCGAGGTCCAGTCCCCTAAATGACTGCAATATTTCTTTGAGTACAAGGATCCATCAGGACAGAAGCACGCTGCTATTATTTGCAATGGATATAATCCAACAGCCAACTTTGCGTCACTAAATCATACACACATTAAAAAGGGATTAGGTTGCCCACCCATCCCAAATGGGAACAAGAACCAAAAACAGTTTTTAAAATCTGCATCAATTATTCCTGCAAATTAAAGTGTTTCTTAAAGAAAGCTGTACCTTTTCAAAGGCAATGTTGAATTCATCCCAATATGCTGCTAAGGCATCAAGGCTTGGGAAATGACCCAGTGTTTGAAAGACTTTCATCACCTTGTCAATGGAGCTCAGCACTTCTTCTGTCATGGTGAGCTGAGCGAGTTGAGCAACTGAGAGTTCCTTTAGGTGAACTATCTAAAGGAGAGAAACAAAGCACAATGTGAATGGAGAGTTTTCCGTTCTGCTTTCTACCATATCTAGTGAATCAGCATTATGTCATATTTGGATCAAAAACAACTGAATTCTAATGGCCTGGAATTCACTGATTAACCTACATTTGATAGACTAAGATATTTTTGGAGGTGGCATCAAAAAGCAAGATGGCACTATGTGTAGTCTCCATTCAGAGATAATTGGCACACGATACTAGCAACTGGAAATAAATTCCCACACATTAGATTTTAAGATATCCAGGACAACGTATGTGGCACACATAGTCCTATATTTCAGGAGAAAGGAACAGTAGGAGGTCGAGACATTGGACTAGATATGCTTTGAGTTTGATCGTATCCAGTAGTGTTCCTCCAATGTAGTAAGAATAATCTAACTGGCTTAGGAGGTACAGGACTAACTGGTTGGTTGAGGAGGTATGGGGCAGCCCTATGGCATACCCAGCCCTGCCCGTTAAATCTCCCACCACCCAGTTCCTGCTGGTTTGTCAGCTCTCCAATATAGCATTAGTGGATCAATATGCATCCCCTGTGCTAGATGATGGCTACTAGTGTGTAACGAGAGAGGTTGCCTCTCTCCCCTACTCATTTACCAGAGGTCTTTCCCAAGGATGCTCTATAGAATGAGTAAGAAGATGGGATTAGGCAAGATAGACCGTCAGTCAAATTATGCCGACTGACGACTCCCAGGGGGAGGGCCTTCTCTGTGAGGGCTCCAACCCTTTGGAATGAACTGCCTCCTGAGATACGAAATATCCCTGATCTCCGTGCTTTCCGCCGTGCCCTCAAGACCCTGATGTTCCAACAAGCGGGGCTAAACATATGAACATGTGAATGTTTTTAAAATGTTTTAGGTTCTATTTAATTGGGCCAAACTATGTTATAATAATAATTTTAATTAGCAATTTTATGATGTTTGTGTATCTATATTTTTCTTGACTGTACACCGCCTTGAGTCCTACGGGAGAAAGGCGGTATAGAAATATAATAAATAAATAAATAAATAAATAAATAAATAAATAAATAAATAAATAAATAAATAAATATAGATAGATAGATAGATAGATACACAGGAGAGCAAAAGAGCTTTCCTTGAGATACTGACTGAGGAGTCTGATGCCAACATCTTGACACACAGTGCTCCAGAGACAGCGGCCTCACTTTGCCAAATGGTAGTACCTTCCTAGGCAGAGGATCTCCTACCTAGCAGCCTCTTCCAGTTTGTGAGGAATAAAATGGGATAGCATTACCAGATGACACTGAGGTAGAACGTTTTTATAGATTTGCATGTAAAAACTATATGTAGGTTCTAATCTAGAAATGACTGAACTTTGACTTAGGAAAAGTCTGAGCTTTAGGTATGCAGTTCCTCACACATATGTAATTAATAGAACATCTGTTCATACAACACACTAAATACATTATCATATGGTGCAACTGCCACGTTTACCTTTACAGGAAAAAAGAACATGCTTTTGGATGTATTCATGCAATTTAGTACAATTGTTTTTTTTTTAATTTCATGAATTGGACATTTGTATTTTCATCCTGTCAAGGATCAAAACACAGAAATTCTGATTTTGCATTCTCCTTATGTGCTCTTCCAAACAAATAAACTTAGCATGCTGACCACAAAGGCTCTAACTCCATTCTAGCTTGCTATGCAAACCCTGTCTGGTTAGCAAATGTCATGGCTGATGTTACCCCACTGAAGTTGGAATCAATCGCCACCAGGTCTGTGAGGTTAACAATGGAACTGAATCTCTGGAAAGTGAGGGATAACCAGTCTTCTGTTTTATGGCAGTCTGAAATTAAATGAAGGTAGCAACAGAGTTCAAAAAGTTGAAAAGAATTGTATTGTCATCCATGCACATAAATACTTTCTTTTTTTATATAAACACTTTATTATACTTTTATTACATTAAAAACATAAGTTATTTCACTCAACAACAGATAATTGTGGTGTTTTTCTTGTGACAATAATTTGTGCATTATTTACAAAAATTAAACTGTGCATATTTACATTCTTATTTTATCTATTACTTGTACTTAATAACTATCTATCTTCAATCTATCTCCGTTCTATCCAGTTATACCACTGTTCCCACACATTGTAAAATATTGATGTCTCTTTATCTTTTAAACTCAGCATTAATTTGTCCATTTCTGCGCAATTGATGATCTTTTGTATGGTCAGTTTCTCTGCGGGTGTACATGGCTGTTTCCAACATTGAGCATAGGCAATCCTGGCAGCAGTTAGTATGTGTAGTACTAGATATTTTGTGTCCTTCACATATTTTTTTTTTGAAGATCCCCAATAGGAAGAGTTCCAGTTCTAAGTCTAATTTTTCATTAGCAATTTTCTGTAGCCAGTCTTTAATATGTAGCCAGGACTACCACATATGGTAATATGTTCCCTCTTTCCAACATATGGGGCTCATTTTAGGGTACATTTTCGCTAATCTCGAAGGGCATGCACATAAATACTTTCAGAGATTCTGTATGTGTGTGTGTACGCGTGCGTGCACGTGTACTGTATGTGGTTACACATATTTTGTTACAGATGGAACAGATGCTCTAATTCTGTTGGCTTATGGCAATTTCTCCAATGTTTGACTGATTGACTGATTCATTTCCACATTGTTCTATATTATCTTTTAAAAATCAGCATAATTAAATACATTTAACATAATAATTAATAGATATCAAACATTTTTAGACTTAGGTCTTTCCATAACCCGAACTCTTGGATTATTTTCTTTATGTATATTGCATGTAGTTTTTTAAAAAACACATTGTACATTAATTTTATGTGTGAGTAAAGGGCCACTGCAAAAAATGCAGGAAAACTGCTATCCCCAAAAACTGCTGAGGTTCCTCTTTTAGTCAAAGGAGCCTCCATATTGATCATGAGTTAACAAAAGGAAACAGAAGGAAACAGCTCACCAATTTTCTGAAGAGTTGTTTTAATCCACTGGGCCACTTCAGTTTTGGTCTCCACCAACATTAGGTCAAATACATAATCCAATCCTTTCACACTATAAGAAATCAAAGTAGCAGTAATAGTGGAAATTTTCCTTCTTTTTGTCCTCACCAGTTATCATATGCAGCACAAATTTCTTTTACTTCAGAGGCTTGTAGGTGGGGTGAACATTGTCACTAAGCAAGAACCAAATTCTTTCTTGGAGGCAATAATGTATCTTTTCAATGCTTTTTCTTTGCACCCACTCTTCTGTAACCTGGTTTTTGCTAGACATTTGGAAGTATAATTCCCAACTATATAACTAAAATTAAATCTGGAAGGTATTGTCTTGGGGAAAATGCATGAAAATCAATTTCTGTATTAAGATTATAAATTCTAGAATCTAATCTGATCTAATGTCAGTTATGAAGAGCAGATCAATTCATTAATAGTATTCCAATTTATTCTGGAAAATGGAAATTTTAAATTGTGTTGATCTGAAAAAAATCCTCTGTATCATATTGTTTTATTGTCTGAACTGATTTTATTCTGTATGATTTAAGGAACTGAACCAATGCATCAATTTGATTCAATGAATATATTTAATGAATATATTTAATGAAAAGTATGATCAAATTATTCCTCAAATCAATTAGGTATAGCAAAGCTCTGCTACAATGAAGACTAATTTCTAGTAGCCAGAAATATGTGTTTCAAGATTTCTTTTCCACTCCCCCTGTACCAAGCCAAAATAATTTCAGCTATAAAATATGATAGTAAAAATGTTTGTAATTAAGTAATTAAATAAAGTAATTAACACTCACTTCCTTTTTAAAGATTCCCCTTCCAAATATCTCCTTCCTTTCTCTCTGCCACTTGCAATCCTTCACTATGCACACATAAAATAATAACCTGTGGAAATTTGGCTGGCAAATTTTACTTACATAACATGCAAGTGGGTGCAGTTGGATGGAGAAGGAAGAATCTTCAGCTCTTGAACAGTGATGGAGGGCAGGTACAATGTCAGAATCCTACTGAACCAAAGCTCCAAATCAGTTATCCTCATGAAGACAAAATGTGGCTTTAGGATTTGAAAAATTCCCTTTAGCATGATGCCGCGGACTCTCACGTTGGTTATTTCCACTAAGTTATTCTGCAGACAAATGAAAAACCAAATACAGAGATTCAAGTTATCCATGAAAAAATGCTTTTGTACAGGTAGTCCTCAATTTACAACAGTTTGTTTATGACCATTCAGTTACAAAGGCACTGAAAAAGTGCCTTATTTTTCACACTTACAACTATTGCAGCTTTCTGATGGCCATGTGATCAAACTTCAGATGCTTATGATCGTTGCAATGTCCTGAAGTCATGAGATCAACTTTTGCAACTTTCTGAGAATCAAAGGCAGTGGAGAAGCCAGATTCATTTAACAACAGTGTTACTAACTTAATTGCAGATTCACTTAACAACTGGGGCAAAAAAAGTTGTAAAATGGGGCAAAACTCACTTAACAAATGTCTCACTTAGCAACATAAATTTTGGGTTCAATTCAGTGGTGGGTTTCAAAAAATTTTACTACCGGTTCTATGGGTGTGGCTTGGTGAGCGTGGCATGGCATGGTGGGCGTGGCTTGGTGGGCATGGCAGGGAAAGGATACTGTAAAATCTCCATTCCCTCCCCAATCCAGGGGAAGGTTACTGCAACGCACAAAATTAGCCTTCTCTAAAAGGAGGGGTGCCCCATCTAAATTCTGTGTCAACTCCTGGTAAAATTTTTCAGGGTAAGAGGATTTAGCATTCATTTCATTTATTTCATTTATTAAATTTTTATACCGCCCTTCTCCCGAAGGACTCAGGGCGGTGTACAGCCATATTAAAACAAACATATACCATAAAATTTAAAAACAATTTAAAATATATAAAATTTGGCCCTTATGTTAAAAACTACAAACACCCAATTAAAATTCATTTTCTAAGCCAGCCCGGCCTGTTGAAACAAAAGAGTCTTAAAGGCACGGCGAAAGGTACGTTGGTCGGGGATCATGCGAATCTCCGGGGGCAATTCGTTCCAGAGGGCAGGTGCCCCCACAGAGAAGGCTCTCCCCCTGGGTATCACCAGTCGACATTGCCAGGCCGACGGCACCCTGAGGGGTCCCTCTTTGTGGGAGCGTATTGGCCGGTGGGAGGCTATCGGTGGCAGAAGGCGATCTCGTACATACCCAGGTCCTAAGCCATGGAGCGCGTTAAAGGTGGTAACCAACACCTTGAATCGCACCCGGAAGACCACCGGGAGCCAGTGCAGCTCGCGCAGGAGAGGTATTATATGGGTGCACCGTGTCGCCCCCATAATCACCCGCGTGGCTGCATTCTGGACCAGTTGGAGCCTCCGAGTGCTCTTCAAGGGGAGCCCCATGTAGAGAGCATTACAGTAGTCCAGGCGGGACATGACGAGGGCGTGAGTGACCGTGCGCAAGGCGTCTCGGTCTAGAAAGGGACGCAACTGGTGCATCAGGCGAACCTGATAAAAAGCTCCCCTGGCCACAGCCGTCATATGGTCTTCTAAAGACAGCCGTGCATGCAGGAAAACATCCAAGTTGCGAGCCCTCTCTGAGGGGGCCAAGATCTCGCCCCCAATAGTCAGCGATGGAACTAGCTGACTGTATCGGGATGCCGGAAACCACAGCCACTTGGTCTTGGAAGAGTTGAGTCTGAGCTTGTTTCTCCCCATCCAGATCCACATGGCCTCCAGGCACCGGGACATCACGTCAAAGGCATCATCGGGGTGGTCCAGGGTGGAGATGTACAGCTGAGTATCATCAGCTACTGATGGAACTTCGCCCCAAAACCACGGATGATCTCACCCAGCGGCTTCACATAAATGTTGAACAGGAGGGGCGAGAGGACCGACCCTTGCGGTACCCCACAAACTAGGCGCCTCGAGGTCAACCTCTGTCCCCCCCAACAGAAACTGTGTACAGTCAGAGAGGAAGGAGGAGAACCACCGCAACACAGTGCCCCCCACTCCCAACCCCTCCAATCGGCACAGCATGATACCATGGTCGATGGTATCAAAAGCCGCTGACAGGTCAAATAGGACCAGGACAGAGGAACAACCCCTGTCCCGAGCCCTCCAGAGATCATCAACCAATCCGACCAATGCCGTTTCCGTGCTGTACCCCGGCCTGAAGCCCGACTGGTACGGATCTAGATAGACAGCTTCATCCAGGTACTGGGGAAGTTGTCGCGCCACCACACTCTCAACAACCTTCGCCACAAAGCGAAGGTTGGAGACTGGACGATAGTTCGCTAATACGGCTGGGTCAAGGGAAGGCTTCTTGAGGAAGGGCCTCACCACTGCCTCTTTCAGAGAGGGAGGGAAGAAACCCTCACTCAAAGAAGCATTAATAATCCCCTGAAGCCAGCCTCGTGTAACCGCCCGGGAGGCCAGCACCAACCAGGAGGGACACGGGTCCAATAAACATGTGGCAGCACTAAGCCTACCCAGAATCCTGTCCATGTCTTCGGAAGTCACAAGGTCAAACCCCTCCCAGATAACACTCTCAAGACCCACCTCCGTCACCCCATCTGAATTTACCCAGTCGGAGTCCAGGCCTTCCCGAATCTGAGTGACTTTGTCATGTAGGAATTGCACAAAATCCTCAGCCCTACCCTGCAAGGGGTCTTCCCTCGCTCCCAAATAAAGAAGGGAGTGGGTCACCCTAAACAGGGCTGCTGGGCGGTTCTCTGCAGACGCAATAAGAGCGGAAAAATAGTTTGATTTTGCCGCCCTTATCGCCACTAGGTAGATCTTAATATGAGACCTCACCAGTGTTTGGTCAGATTCGGAGCGGCTGGCCCTCCAATCGTTCTCCATTCATCTTTTCCGGCGCTTCATCTCCCTCAGCTCCTCGGAAAACCAGGGAGCCAATTGAGATCGGCACCAGGTCAGAGGCCGCAAAGGCACAACGCGGTCCAAAGCTCCAGTGGCCGCCCTATCCCAGGTGGCCACCAGTTCTTCAGTCGAGTCGTGAGCCAGAGCCTCAGGGAATGGCCCAAGCTCCATCAGGAACCTATCCGGATTCATCGGGCGCCTGGAACGGAACCACCTGGTCGGTTCCGTCTCCCTGCAGCAGAGGGTAGCGGCTCGAAAGTCTAGTCGAAGGAGTGAATGATCTGACCATGACAAGGGCTTGGTGACTATATCCCCTGTTTCTAGATCATTCAACCACTGACCAGAGACAAAAATCAGATCCAGTGTGTGTCCCCCCATGTGAGTAGGGCCTTTTTTTTTTTTAATTTGATTTATATGCCGCCCTTCTCCGGAGACTCAGGGCGGCTTACAATGCGCTAAGCAATAACTGGGTCAGGTCCACGGCCATCATGGAAGCCATGAACTCCCGGGCTGTCTCTGACATTTCACCGATGGATGGCAGGTTGAAATCCCCCATGAGTCTGGGGGTATCCATCGCAACCCCGGCTATTACGTTGAGCAGCTCGGGCAGGGCTGCTGCTACGTGGCAGGGAGCCAGGTACGCAGTCAGCAAGCCCATTTTCACGACCCCACTTCACAAGGAGGGACTCACATCCAGCTATCTGAGGTACAGTGGTCTCCCTCGGACAAAGACCTTTTTTAATAATAGCCGCCACCCCCCCGCCCCTACCCTGGGCCCTCGGCTGATGGAATGCACAGAAACTTGGTGGGCACATTTCAGCAAGGGGCACCCCCCCTTCCGGACCCAGCCAGGTCTCCGTAATACCCGCCAGGTCCACTCCCCCCTCCTGGATAAGGTCGTAAATGAGGGGGGCCAGCTAACAAGGCTTGCCATTCCAATGCCTCTTTTCTAGGTGTAGAGCAGGGGGTTATTTGGTCATGCTCCATTTGGCTTTGAGCTGATGACACTGATGTGGGTCCTCTCTCGATTTCTTGATGTGGTGCTAAAGGATAATCACATAAGGATGCTAACATCTTCTTCTCTACTGGGGCCTCTAATGGCCCCTGTGTGTTTTTGCTTCTGTTTTCCATGATCTCATATTCATGCAAATCCTTGCCCTCTGGGGGAGAAGTAAGAGGCTCAATTATAGGGGAAACCAGATCAATAAGTGGTTCAGCTGTGTCGATTATGTCCAATAAGGATTTCTTTAAATTTTCTAACTTGAATAGTATGTTACCTTGTTCTTTCCTTGGGAGAGCGCCAAAAGCATTAATGAGACCGGTTTCTGTGCTGTTAAGTACATCTTCGCTGGATAAGGCTGGCTTACTCCCACTTTCTTCCTCTCTCTTTTCCAAGGTTGAGAATGCGGAAGAGACAGCAACTTTGGGAGCTCGCATGTTAACAATTAAGGGTTTAACCCTTTCCTCACAGAAAACTCTGATGGGAAAGATTTGAAAGGAGGCTAGATGTGCCTTCATCTTGAATAGCATCGGTGGTATGGTCGGCTGTTTGAAAGATAGAAGTATCCGCTTCCAATTTGGGGCCTCAGGAAGTCACTCCGCAGCACGGAGATCAATCTGCCTCCAGTGACAGTGAAGAAACTGGCTTAGGGAATTTAGTATAGCACTCTTGGTAATCCAGCGTCCATAATTAATTCTGTTCATATGGATTCTAAGCGCAACCTGATGTGTTTGTAGTGAGCGATGTGATTGCTGTAATTGTAGGGGAGATGCTTTACTGTCTTCCAATGAAACCTCTCTATTAATACCTCCTCCTCTTGATGCCTTGTCTGGAGAAGGACTGTTTTTCTGAGTGGGCTGCCACTTTTTGGCAGGCTCTTTAATTGTTTCCCCAGATCTTTGCTCTTCTTCCTCTTCCTTATCCTGTGTATGGGATTTACCCAAATCTGCTGTACGGACATTAGTGGGGGTGCCTGTAGCCCAATGTTGTGCTTGAAGAAAAACAGCTATATCTTTTTTCAGTGTCTCTACATCACGTTGGATGGTTATTAGTTGCTCAAATATTGAAACAACCACTTGTGTTGTAAGAAGGCATTGCTTTGCCATAAACTCTGTTGTATTCTCCCACGGTAAACTCTCCACACTCTGGATTAGTTTGTTGTCTCCGTACAGGCTGTAGCTGGACTCGTTGTTTGTGAAAACAGCTGGCTGTCATTTTGCTCCCCTCCCCCTCAGATCGGGAAAGTCTAGTATCTTCTGTTTTGTCAAATCTCTTTGCTGGTCTTGTTCTAATCTCTCTAGATTGTTGGAAATGGAGGGGGGGATATTTTTACTTACAAATCTCTTGTCAGTGCTCGTCAGTTTTTGGTTGTTTTGCATTCTTCATTGGTGGGAGAGATCCCAGGCTGGTGCCATGGCGCTTCTTTCTTTTCCCCATGCCTCATCAGCCAAAACTTTGTCTGTGTTGTGGTCTACTCTGTTATAGTCTCCAAAAATATTATTTAAATAAAAAGGCTCCAATGGGTATACTAAAAAATTGATAAAATAAAATAAAATAAAACCAAGAGGAGCTGCTGCAAAGACACTCCGGCAGCAGCAGCCGGGAGGTAGACAATAGATGGGGGTGGGACCAGTCAGAATTTTTAATACCGGTTCTCCGAACTACTCAAAATTTCTGCTACCGGTTCTCCAGAACTGGTCAGAACCCCACCTCTGGCTCAATTGTAGTCGTAAGTTGAGGACTACATGTAGTTGTTTTTAGAAGGCGCAATGTCCATACTATGTCATTAAATTATCATAACATACTGGTAGTCCTTGACTTATGATGACAATTGAGCCCAAAATTTTGGTTGTTAAGTGAGAATTTGTTAAGTGAGTTTTGCCCCATTTTATGGTTTTTCTTGCCACAGTTGTTAAGTGAATCATTGCAATTAGTAAGTTAGTAAACCTGGCTGTTAAGTGAATCTGGTTTCCCCATTGATTTTGCTTGTCAGAAGGTTGCAAAGGGGGATCATATGACCCTGGGACACTGCAACAATCATAACTATGAACCAGTTGCCAAACATCTGAATTTTGATCACCTGATCATGGGGATGGCTGCAACAGTTGTAACTGTGAAAAATGGTCTTAAGTCACTTTTTCCAGTGCCATTGAAACTTTTAATGGTCACTAAATGAACTGTTGTAAGTCGAGGATTACCAGTATTTCAGACAGATCAGCTAAAGCCTAAAATTGCATTTGCACAATCTCGATCCATTTTAATATTGCTTAGCATTATCAGTGGTGTGAATGTGTCCAGCTACGTTAGGTTTTTTGACATAACTGCTTTCATTCTAGCTTCTCAAAGGCTTCTGATTTCTTTCACCAGAAGTCTTAATTCAATAGTGGCAGAAGCTTTGGATGAGGAACATGCAGAGCAAAAAGATGCTTGGTTCTGACTTAAATCCTTCTAGATTGTAGGATAATGGGCTGAATGCTAGTTCTTCACTTTAAAAGCCTGAGCAAAAACCCAATTTCAACCTCTAGGCTTAGTGACTCTAGGTCAGATTATACTTCTCAATTCTGTTGATGTATTGGTTCATTTTTTTTTGCCATTTCTTATGAAAAGGAATATCAGTGCAACTAATGAACAGCCATTGGCTTTCATCATTTCAAAATCTGTTAATTCTTAAAGAGGCAGATGTATAGTATGTCATTAAACCAATACAGAATACAGAATTGCAGAACTGGAAGGGACCTTGGAGGTCTTCTAGTCCAACACCCTGCTCAAACAGGAGATTCTACCATTCTGGAGAAATGGCTGTCCAATCTTTTCTTAACCTCCAGTGATGGAGATCCAAAACTTCTGGAAACAAGCCAATTAACAAGATTAATTGTTCTCATTGTCAGGAAATTTCTCCTTAGTTCTAGATTGACTCTCTCCTTGATTAGTTTCCATTTGTTATTTCTTGTCCTGCCCTCAAGTGCCTTAAGAAGTTGACCACTCTCTTCTCTGTGACTGCCCCCCAAACATATGTCATCCTTAGTCCTTCTCTTTGTTAGACTAGACATACCTAGTTCCTGCAACAGTTCATCGTATGTTTTAGCCCCCAGACCCCTAATCCAGAGGTGAAATGCTCCCGGTTTGGACCAGATTGTTTGATCCGGTAGCGATGGCAGCGGGTGGTTCAGAGAACCAGTAGCAAAAATCCCTGCGCCCGCCCCCCCGCCCCCCATGTCCAACTGAGCCGCACGATCATCAGAGGCTTTTTTTTTTTTTACTTTTAAAAGCATTTTTTCTTTGGAAAAGGTTGTAGAAAAAATGCTTTTAAAAGTAAAAAAAAAAAAAGCCTCTGATGATGGCGCAGCTCAGCTGGGATCATCAGAGGCTTTTCAAAGCATTTTTTTCTACAACCTCTTGGCCGAAGAGGTGGTAAAAAAAATGTTTTGAAAAGTCTCTGGCAACTCCCAGCTGAGTTGCCTGATCGGCAGAGAGGTATTTTTTAAAATGCCTCTCTGACGATCCCAGCTGAGTTCCCTGATTGGCAGAGGCTTTTCAAAGCATTAGAAAAAATGTTTTGAAAAGTTAAAAAAAAAGAAAGTTGGCCACGCCCACCCAGTCACATTAACCCCCCCCCACCAAGCCACGCCCACAGAACCGGTAGCAACAAATTTTACATTTCACCCCTGCCCTAATCACCTTTTTTCTCTTTTCTGCACTGTTTCTAGAACCTCAGCTTCTTTTTTGTATCATGGTATAGATGCAGTATTCCAAGTGGAGTCCTATGAAAGTAGTATAAAATGGTTCTAACACTTCATGTGTTCTAGATACTATTCCTCTGTTGATGCAGCCTAGAATTGTTTTGGCTTTTTTGGCAACTACAGCACACTGTTGCCACATATTTAAGTGATTGTCCACTAAGATACCTAGATCCCTCTCAGTGTTTTACTGTTATCGAGCAAGGTACCACTTATTCTATACCTAGGCAGTTGGTTTTTCTCACCTACGTACAAAACCTTACTTTTCGCACCACTGCATTTCATTTTGTTGGATAGGGTCAAGTGTTCAAATCTGTAAAGGTCCTTATAAATTTTCTCTATCTTCCAAACTGTTAGATTTCCCACCAGCTTTGCAGATGGTATCATCTCCAAATGTAATGAGTTCCCCTTCTATCTCCTTATCTAGATCATTTATGAAAATGTTGAAGAGTATTGGGCCTAAGACAGAGCCGTGTTGTACCCCACTGCATGCTTCCCTCCATGCATATGTTGTTCCATTGAGGACTGCACATTGAGTGTAGTTGGTCAGCCAGAGACCGATTCATCTGATGGGGATGCTGTCTATCCCACATTTTTTTTTTTATTTTACCAAGAAATAGGTTGTGGTCTACTTTGTCAAATACATTTAAAAAAACTAAAATAAAAACCATAGCCACAGTAATGATTTTTGGTTTGCTAAAATAGTATACCAGATAATCTTCTCTCACCTGTTCTGCAAGTGCACTGATTTTGAGGAGAAAAGTCTGGAGCTCAGATACATTTCGACTTTGGAAAATGTTCATCACATTGGCTGCCTCCATCTCTGCATTCATCCTCAAGCTGTCAGTCAGAATGCCAGACAAGACTACCAGGGTTCCAACCTGGGTTGATGTTAGCAAATCCAGCACTTCAAACTACAAGTAGTAATAATGACAACTCACTGTAATATTTGTTGGATGAACAGACAGTAATAAAATAACAATGAGAATTATTTCCCTTGTGTCAACTGATGAGATCTATAATACAATTTTATAATATTAAAATCCTTTATAAATTTTAATAACCTGGACATTCGTGGCCCATCCCCATGTTTCCAAATGGTAATTTCCAGCAATCTCAGTCAACATGGACTATAATTATACAATTATAGTTTTGCAATATGTGCACAGCTTTGATCTAAAGACAATTTATTTTTTGATTTGAATCTGTAAGCCCAAAATAACAATTAAAATCTTGACTGATTGGCATATCCCAACCATTTACCAGTAACCTCACTGATATACAAATTTAAAAAGAGCAGACCTAGGACATCTACAAGGAAAGATTTTTTAAAAAGCCACAAAGGGAGCTGCAGCAAACTCTCAAAAAGGGGGCAAAGCTACAATCTTAATTCTTTTGATCCACCATGCTACAGTACTGGACAAGACTAACTTTTTAGTCTAACTTCTTTCCCAAGATAAATGTGAGGATAAGAGGCATAGCCATCCAATTCAGGTCATGATGATGTCACCTGCATCATGAAGTTATTGTACAAATTATATGAACTGTGCAATTTGCATCACTCACATGATATTACATTCCCTACCTTTGTTCATCCTGTGGGTCCCAGTGATAAGTGGAGACAGCTTGGATGAGCTACCTTAAGTGATTTGCATATGTGGAGAAAGAAATAGTACTTACTCCATTGAAAGATGGATTCAAGTGGACAAAGTTGCTGTAATTAGCCAAGTAACTGGAATGTCCAAAGTTTTCATGCAGCCAATCTCTACTGTTCGAAGCTGTGAACGTACATGCAACTCCTGCAATATATGCACAAACAAGAGAGTTTAATTAAACAGAAATCATAGTTTGACCAATCTTTCCTTGTGTGCCAGTCCTTCTCCATTTCTGCTTCTTTGCCTCACATTTCCTCTGTCACCTTATCCATCCTTACAATTCATTTTCCATCCCTGGAACAATATCTGTACATCCAAAGCAAGAACACAAAAGTTTTACTTTCATATGTGTGGAACATTTGGTTGAAGCTGCTTTATTTATTCCAAATTTCTGTGAAACATTACTTGGTTCAATATGGGAGATGTTAGCTCTTACAAAGTCAGTTCACACATTTGAAATGATGAGGCATTTTTGTCCAAAAAAAGAGGACATTCTTTGTGAAACGGCCCTGCAAAATCATGAGAAAGATTTTATGCACATTTTGGAACTGAATGATGCCAAAATAGAATCGATCATATATTTACATACAGTTTTATGTTATTTTAAGGGAGACCACATGAAAAATCTCTCTAGTGGATTGGGTCCTGACCTACATCTTAAGGCAGCCAAGATGGGCGAGGGGGGCAGGGACTAGGAGCTAGGAGACTTGAGTTCTATTCCCACACAGCCAAGGAAGCTCACTGGTGACTTTAGGCCAGTGACTTTCTCTCTGCCCAACCTGCTTCATAACCTATTGGGAAAAACAGGAGGAAGCACTATGTATATTGCCTTGAGCTTCTGTTAAAAAAGGTGAAGTTTACATATGATAAATAAATAAACATTTCAAGACAGCATTAAGATTTGAGGTTGGTTAAAGCTGAGCAACTTTGTGTTCATAGGCACTAGCCCAAAATGATTTCTCAATTTATTTTTGGAATTGTTCAGAAGGAAACAACTAGCAAGAAAAACACAGCATATCAGAAACAGTCACCTTCTTTTGCAAGCTGCCCTTCAAGGAAATTCAAACGATTTTGAAAGACAGCAAGCTGAGTCATTGGATTTAGTTCGTAATAAACAGAATTTAGACCTTTGTAGCTGCAAAAGAAGAAAAGAAAATGAATGCTTGCATGCTGCATGTCAAGTAACACAGGACTGTAATCCCACACTTTGAACAGAGCTATGTTTTACACTGCTGTGCTTTCTGTTTTCTCTAATCAGCACAAACACAACAGAACTACCTTCTATGATTGCCCCGTCAGCCTTTCTAGTTGTACCATCCTATACACTAGGACTATTATTATTACATCACTTTACTTCCAGAAACTAGTTGGCAAAGTATATTTCCATTAAATAAAGCATATTTAACATTGCCTGAAACTGAACATAGAACATAAAAATATGAGAGTTATATTGCCATTAAAAATCATGAATGGGTTAACTAGAAAGTGTGTAGTGTTTTTGATTCAAATCTGAAAAGATGCTTTGGAGTGTGTGGGGCACAAATGTTAATCCTATCTGTTAGATAGGTGGATTGAAGAGACTGGAGACAGGCTTCAGACAACAGCTGTTTATTCAGCAACTATTTACAACCTAGCAGCTAGCCTCTCCGACAGCCGGCCCTTTTATAGGGAGCTGTCGGAGAACCCAGCCAATCACATTTAAGCATTCTTCCTGCTCAAACAGCGGACCAGAGGGAAAACCATCCTGTCAATATCTAACACTATCAGCAACTCTTGAAAACAGCTGTGTCTTTTCCTTGAGGCCTATGATAGCTGCAAAAGGCAGTTGTATGATCTGGGGAACAGATGCAGGAGCTTTATAGAATCATGAACAGTGACTGGAGTTGTGTTCCTGGAGACTCAAGCTTCTTTGCTGAAGAAAACTGAAGTGCTACATATACATACATACCTCTGAGGTAAAGAGTACCTCAAAGTTAACATAGCTATTTATATCATATCAACAATGTATTTTATTTCACTATTGTAATTCAATTTATATATTCTGCACCTTACAAATGATACATGACTGAGGAAGAATAGAGCGGTTTGGAATCCGGTTTGTGCCAGCAAATTCAAGGCCGTTTACCCTGAGAGTGGAATTTCACCAGTCTAAACACCTCGGTGCTTCCCAAAACATTTTGGCGGTGCCGGATTGGCTACTGATGGGTGGACTATGGGGAGAGGGCTGGAGAAACCAAGGGATTAGTTTTGTATTGATACGCGGGAACTTTAGATTCCATCTACTGCAATCAGCATCTCTTAGTAAAAGTACCTTTTGCTTTAATCAAATGGATTTGAGAGTTTTACTTCCCTAAGGGATCAGATTGGGGCAGGTATGAAAATCATGCAAAATGTGACACCTCATTTGTACCTATGTTATACATGGAATGAGCACTAAAAAAAAGATGAAGCTTCATTATAACCACTACCTTGACTTCCCCTCCCCCACACCTTATTCCAAACCTGAACAAACTTACATATCATGGAAGTCCACACAGCCTATCTGAGTTGGAAACAGCATCATTATCTTGGCATCAACAAAGGGTAGCAAGCGCACAAGTTTGATTTGAAACAGGTCTTTCAGGGAGGGCGAGCAAAGATCAGGGAAGCTGTGGTTGATCTTGGTCAGAATGGTCTCCAGGGCAAGAGATGCAGCTTTGTGGTCAAGCAGGAGGTCAAGAGGTGATCTGGACAACTCATCCAGGAAGCCCTCTATATAGATGACATCCTGGCTGCTGAGGGCTTTGGCAACAGGTTCCATTAGGGTGAGATTGGAGAGGACCTTATGAGTGACAACCAGTTGGGCCAGCTGGGAAGCGGTAAAGACATTGAGAGCGGCAAACTAGAAAGATGTGGAGAGAAGAGAAGGGAGTGAGAATGGTGCACCCTCAAGGAAACTTTCACTGATTAAGCTGAAATAGCTAAAGAGCAACACAGCTAGTTGGCTGCCTCGTGTGACCAACGGGCTCAAAAGCAAAAATAATTACTTTTATGATAAAATACCTCCAATATATGCCTTAAAAGAACTTTTAAGGATTTGCCCAGTTGGCTGATATGCAAGATACAAATAAGCATTCTTTTTTGTGATAATTTTTATTTATTTCCAAACATTTCCAAACATGTGCAGAATTCTCATTGATTGTTTTTTTAAAGAGCAAGTCTGCCTAAGGTTACCTTTCACTTTCACCTTTCACTGTGGCTGAAGTAGCACCTGTTTAAGAAACGACCTAACTATGTGACTGGAGTGCCTTGACCTTAGAACAAAAAGCTTACAGTATTTATTTAGTGCTGCTATAGTATCTGTTGAATGTTCAAAAGGTTTTGCTAGTTGAAACCCTTTATCAAAGGTCAATAAAGTGAAGGAAAAACAACCTTACCCCATCAAAACCACTCCAGATCTTTGTGAAGTCATTATAGGAGGCATGGTTTTGAAAGTTCTTCCAGTTGCTTTGTATCCATTCTTTAGGTGATCTTTTCTGGCACCCTGAAAGGCAATATAAAGGAATATAGAAAGAAATTGGAGGGGACCTAGGTTGGATTCTTTGGTTCTGTTGGAATTCTTGGGTTGGTAGAACAAATTTCTGTGTTACTGGGCCATAATTCCCAAAATTTCCACCCACCCACCTGATTATTGGGAATTCTCACAGTTTAAATCTAGAGGACACCAAGCTGAGAGAGGCTGAAGAGCAGAGCCAAAGGCCTGGCGAAGAGGATAAGAGACTGACATTGCATCTATTCAGAAAACATAGCACATATGTGACATTTGTGAAATGAAGTTAAGATGCATATGATGCCATCAAAGCTCATACTAGATATTATGCTGAAATGGAATATCCTTAACTAGCATGCTGGAATCATCAGACCCAAAGTCAAAGAAAAGGGAAAGCAGGTAAATTAACACAACTCTGACCACACAGACCATGAGACCTGGGGTTTTTTTATGTGCATCACAATGTATTTGAATGGAGAGTCTTGGAGTACATAGATGTAGCCACTTTTCTGACTCCCCCCTTCCAGGCACCTCTGGTAGATCTTTTGGCAGGGCTGCTAGTTACTGCTATCTGCAGGGGCTTGAGTAATGACATGCATCACAATTCCATCATGCAAATTATATAATTTGCTGAGACTGAGCTCACTGGTTCAGAATCTCCAAATTAAATGGAGTGCACAATGGAGCACATTTTAATTATTAAATTTCTATACTACCCACCTCACCTAAGTAACTTAAGCACATACTCAACAGCAGATACTCAATCTCCTTGGCGGAGAATCAAGTAAATGGTTTTTTAAAGAAGTTCTCTTTAGCAAGAGGTCTGAGCAAATTCTCCACAGGAATTCCAGCAGCTGAATTTTTTTCAGCCTAAGGCCAATATCTCCCATTTCTGATTTATCTGTGATTTATTTAGGAAGTGGACCTTTTCACAGGTACAGCAATAGGGAACTTGTAGTGGCTTGTTTACCTTAGTCTCCTGAATCAGTATGGGAAGAACTCTTATACAACGAAATGTAGGAAGTTATTTCTAAGGCAGGCTAAGTTGTGCTAATGACCAAATTGTGCTTTTTAGCTGGAGTTATAATTTATTTCAACTGTGAATCAGGAGTGGGAGATTGCTCTGTATCTCCCATTCCTTCACTTACGGAATACAGTAAGGAATCTTCCAATCCAGCTGGTCACCAACTGCCTTGTGCTGTTATCCATATCAGGGTATACACTGTCTAAGGCCTGGACACTAATGAAAGGAAGACACATAATCAAAAATCCTGTGAATATAGATATGCTACAAACATTCCTTTTGTGGACAGTGGTCTTTAGGATTCAAATTTTAGTTCCCATCCCACCTGCTTCAAACCTAGTAGGCTATCTGGATTCTAGCCTGCATTAAGTCCCTACTGTAGAGTCTATATTTTGTCTGCAATATCTAGACAACCATTTAAAATATCTGGGAAGGTTATGCATAATTTGCAAATGTCTCTGCAAATGGGCACAATGCAAATAGTATAGAAAATGTACTTTTCTGAATTTTGCAGTACAGTTTGGAACTTGCCCAATCTTTGGGGCACCAGGGACCAGTGGAGTGATATTGTCCGCATACCAGAGGGGGCTGGTTTTGCATGCTACCTGTATCTGCAGATGGGGCTTCACTTGTTTACGCGGACTGGTTGCTGGCCATGGTGCAGACTGATGCTGGTCCATGGACTGGGGGTTGGGGACCCCTGGCTTAGGGGACAAGCGCACCAGGGCAAAAGGCAAATTCTTTACAGAAATTGTTGCATTCACAGTGATGAGACTGAAAATGCATTGTAATGTGCTGGGCAAGCTTTTAGATAGCTATCTAAAGAGCCATCTGTGGATAAAAAAATTGAAATATAGCTCTGATAAACATTCAATAAATGAGTCACCTGACAACAAAAAAAATCAAATTTGTGCAGCTGTACCTGTCATCTCTCCCTCTCCATTAGCCTTATATAAAGTGGCTAACGTTCAGGTGGTTACAGGGGCTGAGGAGATTGTTGTAACATTTAGGAGGAAAGAGGGAGAATGATTTTGTTGGTAAAGGAAGGTGAAAGTAGCTTCTTAACTATCCTTCCCTTTTTTAAAGTATTCTTTTCATCACTTTTTTCTTTTTCTTTTATACTTCTGTATTTCTCTTTTAGCTGGGTAAAAGCTTTTAATAAGAAATAATTTTAAAAACCCATTCAAATAGTTGCTACATACATTGTTCTGAAGCCATCGCAGGTGATTGGAATTTGAGTCATGCAGTCTAAGATGTTGATGTTCACATCTGTCAAGTAAGGGTGCATCGTCTCTTGGAACCAAGAGGAGAGGAAGCCAGCATTTGATACCAGAGGATCTGTCTTAATTTTTTCCCATGCTGCATTCAGCAAGAATCTTTTGAAAGCTGGTAACATCTGGTCTCTGGAGATCTAAAACAGCAGGCCTATTAATTTGAGTATCTTTGGGCAAACTGATTGATTTTATGTACGTCAGAGGAAAGCAGAAGGAAAATGAAGCCCCCTCTTATTAATTTCCCATGAAACAGAATAACAGAGATGGAAGGGACCTTGGAGGTCTTCTAATCCAACCCCCTACTTAGGCAAGAAACCCTATAACTTTTCAGACAAGTGGCTGTGCAATATCTTCTTAAAAACCTACTATCACGGAGCCCTCACTACTTCTTAAGGCAAGTCGTTCCAATGATTAATTGTTCTCACTATCAGGAAATTTCTCCTTAGTTCTAGGTTGGATCTCTCTTTGATAAGTTTACATCCGTTGCTCCTTGTCCTACCCTCACATGTCTGAATAGGTTGATCCCCTCTTCTTTATGGCAGCCCCTTAGGTATTTGAAGAATGCTGTCATGTCACCCCAAGTCCTTCTCTTCCTTAGACTAGACATACACAGTTCCTGCAACCATTTATTTATTTATTTTATTTATTTTATTTATTTATTTATTAGATTTTTATACCGCCCCCTCTCCCGAAGGACTTGGGGCGGTGAACAGCCAAAATTAAAAACATACAATATAAACAATTAAAATACGTTTAAAACAGAATTAAATCTAAAATGGCTCCCCAATTTAAAACGCCTTACCCATACCCCTATAAATAAGACGAATTTAAAATTTAAAAATTTAAAATTTCCACATTTAAAAGGGGGGAAGATTTAGGCCAGGCCAGCTTGATAAAATAGAAAAGTCTTAAGCGCGCGGCGGAAGGTGCGCAGATCCGGGATTTCATCATGATTTAGCCTCCAGTCCCCTAATCATCTCTGTTGCTCTTCTCTGAGCTCTTTCTAGACTCTAGAGCAGGGGTAGTCAACCTTTTTATACCTACCGCCCACTTTTGTATCTCTGTTATAGTAGTAAAATTTTCTGACCGCCCACCGGTTCCACAGTAATGGTGATTTATAAAGTAGGGACGAAACCCCTACCGCCCACCATGAAAGCTGGAACGCCCACTAGTGGGCGGTAGGGACCAGGTTGACTACCACTGCTCTAGAGTCTCAACATCTAACAGTTCACATGATCTAGATTCTATCTCTCTGTTAATGCAGCCTAGGACTGCATTGGCTTTTTTGTGGCTGCAATACATTCCTGGTTCATATTCAAGTTGTTATCCACTAGGACTCCTAGAACACTCTCACAGTTACTGCTATTGAGTCAGGTACCACCTATTCTATACCTGTGCATTTGGTTTTTCTTGCCTAAGTATAAAACCTTACTTTTCTAACCTTGAATTTCATTTTTTTAGATTGGACTGAGTACTCAAGTTTGTCAAGATCCTTCTGGGTCTTGAGCCTATATTCTAAAGTATTGGCTATTTGCCCCAGCTTGGTGTCTCATCTAAATCATTTATGAAGATGTTGAAGAGTACTGGACCTAAGACAGAACCTTGGGGTACCCCATTGCATAAATATGGGGTCTAGTTTGTCAAATGCCTTACTGAAGTCTAAGTATATTATGTCCACAGCATTTCACCGGTCCACTAATTTAGTCACTTTGCTGAAGAATGCAATAAGATTTGTATGGCACGATTTATTTTTGACAAACCCATGTGGCTTCTGGTTATAATTTTGCTTGTCTCTAGATATTTGCAGATTATTCCTTATTTTTTTCCAAAATCTTCCCTGGTATTTATTGGTCTGTAGTTTCCTGGATCCATTTTTCCCCCTTTTTGAAGATGGGAACCACATCAGCTCTTTTCCAGTCCGCTGGTAGTTCCCTGGTGCTCCAGGATCTTGGAAATATATGGTTCAGTAGTTCAGAGATCACATCTGCCAGCTTCTTCAGAATTCTGGAAAGTAATCCATCTGGTGCTGGTGATTTGAACTCTTCTAGAATGGATAGATGAACCCTTACCATTTTCTTGCCTATACACTGCACTGTTTATATTATACTAGAAAATGATGCCACAAACTTCATTTGAGTGAGGCATTCACTTCCTCACTTACAAACGATAAACTGAGAAACTGGGAAACAAACTTAAAGCTCAGTATAGTCTCCAGGAACTTGCAGAAATGCTCCCCCATCAGCCCTGGCCCTGGTTGCAGTCGCCTTACCTCCATGCTCATCTGATTCAGAGCATCCTGTAAAGTGCTGAGATTGACTCCTTCAAAAAGCAGCAAGAAAGCCTCTTGATCAGGCTGGGTGGCAGGGTCCCTCAGAGAGCACATGAGAATGGAGACCAGTTTTCTTGGGGTTAGATTAGAAACCTGAAGCACAAAACCGCTGTTAGTTGGTTGTGTTATTTTCACTGAAAGAAGAAACGTACAAATATCAAGAGAAGTCTCAAATGTCCAGTTTCACAATTCTGAGGTCGTGGCCAATAGCCAGTGGGGTTGGAGACAAATGATGACTCTGGATCTAGTGCTTTACACACCCATTTTCACCCATTTGGCTATATGCAGAGATATACCTCATTCCTTGGTCTTTGCTTTCATTCACTTTTTCCTACAGAGGCTGGGATTTCATTGGAAAAGTTGTTTCCGTCCAGCAAGATTTTTATTTCTCTAATGCAGTGGTTCTCAACCTTCCTAATGCCGCGACCCTTTAATACAGTTCCTCATGTTGTGGTGACCCCCAACCAGGGGTGGGTTCTAAATTTTTTTACTACCGGTTCTGTGGGCGTGGCTTATTTTGTGGGTGTGGCTTGGAGGTCATGTGACTGGGTGGGCGTGGCTAGCTGGTCATGTGACTGGGTGGGGGTGGCTATGTGTATAGGGACTACTCAGAGGGCTGAAAAAAGTCATTTCTGACAGGTCCTCGCACTTTTGACTGCCTACAACTGAATGCACTTTCCTTTATCCCAACGGTGCTTTTTGAAGAGGCAACTGGACTTTCTTGGCTTTTCTTGAAGACATTCTGCTTCTCATCCAAGAAGCTTCTTCAGGTCCACTCTGAAGAATTTCCCATCATCCCACTCTGGATCCTACTAAAGTAACTCCGTACTGGATTGGGGTTCAAGAGTGAAATGTTGGAGACCGGATACTTGTCAGACTGCGATGCTGTCTCAAAATTAAATGAATCTCCAAACTGCCAATCTTTAAGGAAATCTTTCTTTAATTGAGCTCAGCCACCCGATCATGACTCCGCGCGGACAAGACTGACCTTTTGCCTCCCAATCCCTCCCTTCCCGACCCCCAAGTCTCTGCTTCTCATTGGCTGTCTTCCAAGTCATTCTCCAGACTTCTTTTCCCCGTCATTTCTCAGGAATGTGCCCCCTCCCCTGATCCCCACGACAACCAAGCTTCAAAGGGATTTTGCAGGCAAAAGTTTCAGAGTTTATCTTTCGCTGTCCTCTGCTCTCTCTCTATGCCAGCGTTGCAACACTGACAATACTTTTGCATTGTATTTTCTTCCTTTCCATTCCTCTCTCCTCTGACTATGCGAGGTTATTCTGAGAATGGGCGATTTACCTTGTGATATGTTTGAAGATGAAACTCAAATACTTTGCCACCTAATGAGAAGGAAGGACTCACTGGAGAAGAGCCTAATGCTGGGGATGATTGAGGGCAAAAGAAGAAGGGGACGGCAGAGAACCAAGTGGCTGGATGGAGTCACTAAAGCAGTCAGTGAGCTTAAATGGACTCCAGAGGATGGTAGAGGACAGGAAGGCCTGGAGGAACATTGTCCATGGGTTGTGATGGGTCGGACACAACTTCGCAACTAACAACAAGAAAATGTTTGTCAGCTCAATTCAGCTGAACACATGCTGTCAATTCCTTAAAGAAGTTTTTTTAAAATATATATATATAATATCTTTCTTCTGTGTTGCTGGGGAAATCCAAAATCAGGGGGGGGGCCAAAGAGGGCTTTGGCGACCCCTGTGAAATGGCCGTTCGACCCCCAAAGGGGTCACGACCCCCAGGTTGAGAACCGCTGGGTTAAGGGAAAAAGAGATACTTGTATATAACCTTATAATGAGTAAAAAAAATACTAAATTTGTACTTGTGATGAAGATCAGAAGTAACTTTAAATATTTTTCTCTCTTTCTTCTTCTTTTTCCTTGCATTTACTATTCTCTCTTTCCTTACTTTTTTCTCTTTATGTGTGTTGGAAGAAATATCCTCCTGGGTTCAGCTCCAAGTGGGGAAAAAGACACTGGAAACACGGAGACTGCTTGGAAAGATGGTTTAATGGTGGACAGGATCACATGGCTTGAGTTCCTGAACAGAAAAGGGCCGAGACGCAGTGAGTCCCCGGGTTTTATGCCCTCTCTGGCTTTGAACTTCTTGGGGCCCAGAAAGAGTATCCTGATTGGTTGTCAGACTCCCGGGGGGGGGGGTCTTAGCTAGCCTTGCTGGCTGATGTAATCTTCCCAGGTGCCATGTGATGAGTTTCTGTTGCTAGATGGGTCCTATTGTGTTAGTTTCTGTTGCTAGATGGGTCCTATTGTGTTGCAGATGATGGTCCATTGACAAAGATTGAGTTTCTGCCTCTGGCCCATTGACAAAGGGTGGAGGCAGGAAGATGGGAGCTGCTTCGTCTTTAAAACATGCTTCTCCATTTCTCATCCAGGGAAACATAATATTCTGCCTTTTTAATATTTCCTAAAATATTTCATTCTTCTAGGAAAGGGGTGAGTGCTAACTTCCTACATGTGTTTAGTTTGCATTGCCTTTTATTAATGTTATTAAAATTTTCAATAGCAATTAATAATAATAAAAAGATGCTCCTGCAGAAGTGACCCATTGAAGAGAATGGAAAGATAGAGCTGGAGCCAGTTGCTAAGCAGGGTCACTGTTGCAGGAGCTTCCTGGCACAAGGGGAGGCAGCTGGCCTCAGAGATTTGGGATCCTATAGGCCCAGCTGGTCTCAGGAGGCATTTACCAACCAGGTGATTCATAGATCTCCATGATAGGGGGTGGGGTGATCATGCAATATTGGAATTCAACATTATGCAAGCACAAGCAATAGAACAAAGTCAAGTAGAGTCTTGGACTTTAAGAGAGTTAATTTCAATAAACTTAGAGACAGCTTGGGAAGGATTCCATGGATGAGAATCTTCAAGGGGAAAACAACTCAATAAGCTTGGGAAATTTTGAAAAGTGAGATTATAAAAGCCCAGTCTAGCACAATACCAATGAAGAAGAAAAATAACAGCTCTCAAAAGAAACCAGCATGGCTGCATAAAGAACTCTCTGACAAATTAAAAGACAAATAGGACAACTATAAAAAGTGGAAAGAGGGGCACATAACTAAGGCACAATATCAGCAAATAGCCCGAGCCTGCAAAGATGAAGTGAGGAAAGCTAAGGCTCACAACGAATAAAGGCTTGTGACAAAAGTAAAAAATAACAAAAAAAGCTTCTTCCAATATGTTAAAAACAAGAAAATAGTCAAGGAAAAAAATTGGTCCATTGCTGGGAGAAAGTGGCAAGAAGGTAGCAAGCAACAGGGAGAAAGTAGAACTACTTAACTCGTTTTTTGCATCTGTCTTTACACAAAGGAAAAAAGCAGTCCAACCAAAAGCAAACACAGCACCACAAAAACAGATTAGGAACATAAGTTAAAATAGGGAAGAAAATGGTAAGTGAGCACCTGTCTACCCTAGACAAGTTCAAATCACCAGGACCAGATGGATTACACCTCAAGGTTCTGAAGGAATAGCAGATGTGATCTCAGAACCACGGAACGATGTCTTTCAAAGATCCTAGAGCACCAGGGAACTGCTAGAGGACTGAAAAAGAGCTGATGTAGTTCCCATATTCAAAATGGGGTGTGGGGGGGGAGAGAGAGAAATAGATCCAGGAAATTACAGACCCATCAGCCTGACCTCAATACCAGGGAAGATTCTAGAAAAGATAATCAAGCAACGAATCACCAAACGCCTAGAAGCAAACAAAGTAATAACCAAAAGCCACAAAACAGATCATGCCAGACTAATCTTATTGCATTCTTTGACAAAGTGACAAAATTAGTAGACCAGAGGAATGCCGTCCAATTACTTGGACTTCAGTAAGGCATTTGATAAAGTAGATCATAACCTACTATTTGATAAAATAGAAAAATGTGGGTTAGACAGCATCACCACCAGATGGATTCGTAACTGGCTGACCAACCACATTCAACGTGTAGTCCTCAATGGAACTGCATCTACATGGAGAGAAGTATTCACTGGAGTACCCCCAGGCTCTGTTTTAGGCCTTAGACTCTTCAACATCTTTATCAATGATTTGGACAAGGGATAGATGGGGAACTCATCAAATTTGCAGACGACACCAAGCTAGCAGGAATAGCCAACACTCCGGAAGATAGGCTTAAAATACAGAAGGATCTTGACAGACTTGAACATTGGGCGCTATCTAACAAAATGAAATTCGATGGTGAAAATAGTAAGATTCTACATTTAGGCAAGAAAAACAAAATGCACAGGTACAGTATATGTGGTACCTTGTTCAATAGTGGTGACTGTGAGAGGGATCTTGGAATCCTAGTGGACAATCACTTGAATATGAGACAGCAGTGTGCTGCAGCTGCCAAAAAAGCAGGGGTGAAATGCTCCCGGTTTGGACCGGCTCGGGTGAGTAGGTAGCGATGGCGGCAGACAGTTCAGAGAACCGGTAGCAAAAATCCCTGCCCCCGCCCCCCCATGCCCAGCTGAGCCGCGCGATCATCAGAGCCTTTTTTTTCTTTTAAATGGCTCTGACGAGCCAAGCTCTGACGATCCCAGCTGAGTTGCCTGCTAATCAGGCAACTCAGCTTGGATCGCCAGAGCCATGTAAAAGAAAAAAACTTTTTCCTTTTAAATGGCTCTGACGATCCCTCCCCCTCTCCCCCTCAGCTTGCTTACCTTAGCTGCTGGTCGCAACGCAATCCATTGCATCAGCAAGCAACTGAATCTCCCTGCCTGCAATCAAGCAGGCAGGGAGTTGTGGACTTCAACTCCCAGAATTCCTCAGCCAGCAAAGCAAAGCTGGCTGAGGAATTCTGGGAGTTGAAGTCTACAAGTCTTAAAGTTGCCAAGGTTGGAGACCCCTGTTCTATTGGGTAAGTTTTTTTCCCCTTTGGGAGCTTTAAAAAAATAGTTAATTGGGGTTTTTTTAGTTGTTCTTTTTTTAGACCTAGCCATTTAAAGTTTAGGAAGTTTTAAATTTAGCTGCTTTTATATAAAAAATAAAAATAAATAAAAATAAAATAATATTTGTGCAGCTTTCTGAGATTTAGTGTGTTTCCGTAGTGTTTCACTCTAACTACACAAACACACAAAATC